CGAGGCCTCATCTCGTTCATGTACAATTTGCATGATATAGCTTACCATCTTCCTCCTGTGTGATTCTTTACAATATCTTGTAGATTTGGTGTCAGAGGAACATGCAGCAAGGAATCGACTTGCCTCATCAAGGCCCACTCTGTTCTACCGCCGTCCATCATCATCTTTCTTCGGCTTGGCAACCAAACCAAGGCACCACTGAGAGAAGGCGGACCGTTCGATACATCTCACACTGGCCGGGGACCATTTTATGTGGATCCTTGCCGACAATATAGCGGCCCATGAGGAAGGCCACGGGCTAACCCAGTGACTTGGACTGTGAAGGAGGAAGATTTTCGGATGTGATGAATGCCTTAACAACGGGTACCTTGAGATGAGCACTCCGTACTATGTATACTTTCAGATACGCTCAAACTGTACAATCCAATACTAGTGTACACTGGTTTGTTCGTTAGCGTGGGACTACTTGCAGGTTCAAATAGGGGAGAAATGTGTGATCTAGAGGATATGATTGGTTCAAAATTAACAAAAAAACGTAGAGTGAGAGAGAGCTTCAAAGAGCCTGAGCCTTCTCAGTAGTGTAGTATCCCGGACACGATGCCCAAAAAGGAAACAGTTCCAGCGCTTTTCCAGGACTTACAATCGTCAAAGTCCACCGAACCAGACTTTGGAAAAATGTCAATCGAAGTGCCACACCAACAATCATATCAGGGTTGGAATGTACCATCTATAAACTACACAGCTTCTATAATGGGGGCCATGGCCACACTTCGACGATTTACCAACAGGCACTACACTACGTAAAAGTGTAGGTACGTACCTTTGTCCGTTTCCTCGCCCTATGGTGCACATCTACCGGTGGCACCCTCGAAAGCTACCGTGCTCTAGTGCAACTGTACTCCATCAAGAGTCCATGTCCATCACTGCCATCCCACCAGTTGAAATTCACCACTTACATGTCTGTGGGGTTGGCAGCTTTGTTGTTCCAGCCTGGTATGCCAGAACCCGTTCTCCAAGTACCCCCCTACCCTTGCCTGCAGGCATGCTTGATGCGTGCGTTTTTGTTTCCCCATGGATTCGGTTCGGACGAAGCTCCAACTCTCATTGCCCATGGACCATGCGGGGGACGCTCGTTGTGTTGATCCTGGCAAAGGTCGATAGATGTGATCACCTCCCTGATGGGTCTCTGTCTGTCTGTCGGTCTGTCTGACTGTTCGGCCGTGGCAAGGAGGATTGATATAAGTAGGACCTCTCCCGCCACTGACATCCGAGATATTGCTTTGTGTGTTCTCTGTATCCCTAACCAGATATCCATATTCTGGGATAGAATATTGTCACACATTTTCCCTGTCTATTTATTTGATACCCCCAAATCACAGATTGTGTGTACTCCTTCAGTTGGAAAATATACACCAGACAACACAATACCATGCGTGTCAACGCTCTTCTACCGTTGAGCGGCCTTATTGGCACTGCTCTGGCGGCATGCCCTTTTGCCGACCCTTCTGCTCTTGGTCGCCGTGCCGAGGGCGGCGAGGTTGACGCCCGTCAGAGGTTGAAGGAGGTTGAGGTTGACGACAACGGCCAATTCATGACAACGGATTTCGGCGGCAACATTGAGGAACAGTTCAGTCTGAAGGCTGGTGGCCGGGGCTCGACATTGCTTGAGGACTTCATCTTCCGTCAGAAGCTCCAGCACTTCGACCATGAGCGCGTATGTCTTCACTGCCATGGCCCAATTAGCATAAAGATTTCTAGCTAACGTATATTCGATACCAGATTCCCGAGAGAGTCGTTCATGCCCGTGGTGCCGGTGCCCACGGTATCTTCACCAGTTATGGCGACTGGTCCAACATCACCGCCGCCTCCTTCCTGGGCGCCAAGGACAAGCAAACACCGGTCTTCGTCCGCTTCTCTACCGTTGCCGGTTCCAGGGGTTCCGCCGACACTGCCCGTGATGTTCACGGCTTCGCCACGAGATTGTATGTTGACCACGTAACCACCTTTCCCTTTACCTCTTGAGCAGGGCGTTAACTTGTATCCAGCTATACCGATGAGGGCAACTTCGATATCGTCGGCAACAACATTCCCGTCTTCTTCATCCAGGATGCCATCCGCTTCCCCGACCTTATTCACTCCGTCAAGCCTAGCCCCGACAACGAGGTTCCCCAAGCCGCCACCGCCCACGACTCGGCTTGGGACTTCTTCAGCTCTCAGCCCTCCGCTCTCCACACCCTCTTCTGGGCCATGTCTGGCAACGGTATTCCCCGCAGCTACCGTCATATGGATGGTTTCGGTATTCATACCTTCCGTCTGGTGACCGAGGACGGCAAGTCCAAGCTCGTCAAGTGGCATTGGAAGACGAAACAGGGCAAGGCCGCTCTCGTCTGGGAGGAGGCTCAAGTCCTCGCCGGCAAGAACGCCGACTTCCACCGTCAGGATCTCTGGGATGCTATCGAGTCCGGAAACGCCCCTTCATGGGAGCTCGCCGTTCAGCTTATTGATGAGGACAAGGCCCAGGCTTACGGCTTCGACCTGCTTGATCCCACCAAGTTCCTTCCCGAGGAGTTCGCCCCTCTCCAGGTTCTCGGTGAGATGACCCTCAACCGCAACCCTATGAACTACTTCGCCGAGACCGAGCAGATCTCCTTCCAGCCCGGCCACATTGTTCGCGGCGTCGACTTCACCGAGGATCCCCTGCTGCAGGGTCGTCTCTACAGCTACCTCGACACCCAGCTCAACCGCCACAGGGGCCCCAACTTTGAGCAGCTCCCCATCAACCGCCCTGTCTCTGGCGTCCACAACAACCACCGCGACGGTCAGGGCCAGGCTTGGATTCACAAGAACATCCACCACTACACCCCGTCTTACCTCAACAAGGGCTACCCCGCCCAGGCCAACCAGACCGTTGGCCGTGGCTTCTTCACTACCCCCGGCCGCACCGCGTCTGGCGTCCTGAACCGCGAGCTCAGCGCCACCTTTGACGACCACTACACCCAGCCCCGGCTCTTCTTCAACTCGCTCACCCCCGTCGAGCAGCAGTTCGTCATCAACGCGATCCGCTTCGAGGCCAGCCACGTCACCAACGAGCAGGTCAAGAAGAACGTTCTCGAGCAGCTCAACAAGATCTCCAACGACGTGGCCAAGCGCGTGGCCGTTGCGCTCGGCCTCGAGGCGCCCCAGCCCGACCCTACCTTCTACCACAACAACGTCACCCGCGGCGTTTCCATTTTCAACGAGAGCCTCCCCACCATCGCCACCCTCCGCGTCGGCGTCCTCTCCACCACCAAGGGCGACTCCCTCGACAAGGTCAAGGCCCTCAAGGAGCAGCTCGAGAAGGACGGCCTCAAGGTCACCGTCATCGCCGAGTACCTTGCCAGCGGTGTCGACCAGACCTACTCCGCTGCTGACGCCACCGCCTTCGATGCCGTTGTCGTGGCCGAGGGCGCTGAGCGCGTCTTCAGCGGCAAGGGCGCCATGAGCCCTCTTTTCCCTGCTGGCCGTCCTAGCCAGATTCTTACTGATGGTTACCGCTGGGGTAAGCCCGTTGCTGCTGTCGGCAGCGCCAAGAAGGCGCTCCAGAGCATCGGGGTGGAGGAGAAGGAGGCTGGTGTTTATGCCGGTGCTCAGGATGAGGTTATCAAGGGCGTTGAGGAGGGCCTCAAGGTGTTCAAGTTCCTTGAGCGTTTCGCCGTTGATGGTGATGATGAGGAGTAAGTAGATTTGATACCAATGGAATGACCAAAGCGAGGGGGAAAGAGTAATGCTTAACGAGCTGATGATGAGAATTTGATAATTTGTCCGTTTTGGAAAACGAACAAGCGATCCATGGGGAGGTTGAGCTTTGGATCCAGGGGGTTAAACTTTTTGTACATATCTTCACCTACAAGTGCTTAATCTGAAAGAAAAAAAAAGGGTACGAGATGCCAGAAATCCGAATTTCTGGCATTTGATGAGTTCGAAGAGGTAACGGCAACAATGCACCAATATGATGCGTCGCAGGAACTATGGGTCACGTGGATGGCTGCAGAATGAGTTGTCAAGTGGTTTCCGGCCTTTCCCTATCGAACTATTGGCTTGGGAATGGTTGTTGTTTTATTGAAGTCTCGTGATGTTCAGGTCATGGTGTCGTGGTGGTATTGTGTGTGCTTCGGTTGCATGTCGCCCGTGGTCGTCCATGCTCAGTAGAGGTGCGGACAGCGTCAGCTGAAGATCGCCGGTTGCACAACCAAAAAAGAGAGACTAACATGTGTGTTACTGCTTTATCGTGATACTCGCCCTGGCCGTATGATCTCGATGATATGTTTGGTGTTGAGAAGATCAAGCACGCAGCTGAAGGAATGGATTATGGTACCTCTTACGTATCTAAGGTAGGTACTTTACAGTACAGTAGAGCTGTTGCCGCCGGCACTAAACACGCCGCTGGGGCACCACTTCGGGTCCACGTATACTGGGCTTAGGCGGAGCCCTCTGCACGTCTCCCGCTGCAACCGCGCCTATGGCCGATGACGTTAGCAGTCCCCTATCGCAGCAGCTGGAGATAAGGTTACCTACATGCGACAACGGGCAGCGACCATCAAGGTGCAGCTGACACACACCTAATTCAACACCTATCACCTATCCCGTCCATCGCCATCCATCCCGACGTGTGCGCGCGCTTTCATCCCGTGTCGCCGACGCATGACGGTTTGATCCTAATATCCCCGCGATTCTCCACCATCAAACCGTCGAATCAGACACATCAAACGGCGAACGGAATCAAGGCAGCCGACACCGGAAGTGGGTTGGATCGCGGAGGACGGTCAAGGCGATTCACGACTCGTGAACGCCAGTTGCACTCTTTTTAAGACGGGCTTTCGACATTTTGAGGACGTTGGCAGCATTGGATGTCGGCAGATCAGCCCAGTATTAGACTTGGTCCCATACCGACAAGTTCCAGCGGAGATTCCAGACATCAAGGGTCGACGACAGCCACCCGTGACAACGGACCACCAACTATCATGGATCGACTAAAAAACTTCCTGACGCCGGTGAAGGCAACAGACGACGAGTATGAGCCGCTGGCAGACGACTCCTCATCGACACTCGAGGAGGAAGGAGAGACATACGAAGACCAGGCGCCTTTCTCATGGATAGAATACGCCATCTTCGCCTTGATCGGTGTCGCCATGCTCTGGGCATGGTATGTCCATGATACCCACTCGCGATACTTATCCTGCTAACCACCCATTGACACTACAGGAACATGTTCCTCGCTGCTGCTCCCTACTTTCAAACCCGGTTCGAATCCAACGAATGGATCCTCGCCAACTCCCAATCCGCTATCCTCTCCGTCTCGACAACCGCCAACCTCCTGGCTCTGCTCGTCTTGATGAACATCCAGTCCTCAGCCAACTATCCTTTGCGTATCAAGGCCTCTCTGATCGTCACCATTGCCGTCTTTGGTCTCTTGACCATCTCGACTGTCGCCTTCCGCAATGTCTCCCCGACCACCTACCTCGTCTTCCTGCTGCTCATGGTCGGCGCCTCCGCCTGGGCCTCCGGCATGTTGCAAAATGGCGCCTTCGCCTTCGCCGCCAGCTTCGGTCGACCAGAGTACACCCAAGCCATCATGGCCGGCCAGGGCGTGGCCGGGATTCTGCCCCCACTAGCACAAATGATCTCCTACCTCGCGGTGCCTCAGCCCGGCGAGTCCAACTCTCCCTCCAGCTCAACACCTGCCGCCACCACTACTCTCGACAGCACCCCAGAAGCGGCCCCCAGCACCTCGGCCTTCATCTACTTTCTCACCGCCGTGCTAGTCTCCCTTGCCACCCTCGTCGCCTTCTACCCCCTCGTCAAGCGACACAACGCGCTCGTCGAATCCCGCCTCATGCTCGACGAAGACACCCAACAACTCCTCTCGCAGTCCATCACCTCCCTCGAGGAAGCCGAGCGGCTTCGCCGACACTACGTCAGCCCTTCCACCCTTTTCCGCAAGCTCAACTGGATCGCCGTCTCTGTCTTTTTGTGTTTTGTCGTAGCCATGTTCTTCCCCGTTTTCACAGCCAAGATCCTGTCCGTCCACGATGACTCTGTCATCTCCCCTGGCCCAGGAGAAAAAGCGTCGTCTATATTTACTCCCGGAGCCTTCATCCCTCTCGGCTTCTTCTTCTGGAACCTCGGCGACTTGCTCGGTCGCGTATCCCCCATGTTCCTCCCCTTTTCACTGCGGGATCGCCCCGTAGCCTTATTCGCGGTGGCGGTCGCGAGACTGGTCTTCTTGCCCATGTACTTGCTTTGCAACATCCGTGGTCAGGGAGCGGTGGTGGATAGCGATCTGTTTTATTTGTTGGTGGTGCAGTTGCCCTTTGGCTTGACGAATGGGTGGTTGTGTACGAGCAGCATGATGGCTGCCGGGGAGTGTGTGGATGAGGGCGAGAGGGAGGCGGCCGGCGGCTTTATGAGTATGTGTCTTGTAGGTGGCTTGTCGGTGGGGAGTTTGGCTAGTTTTAGCGTTGCTGGCATCTGATGTCGTTGATGTTCGTGTAATTCCTTTAATTTATTTTTTTTTTTTTTTTTTTTTTTTAAAAAAAAATCTTTAATCTCCGATTTCGTTTTCTTTTTGAGGATCGAAATATTGGATATGAAGTAGGATGGAGCGGATGGACTGCTTGCATGCACATTGTGATTTTTGTTAGCGAACTGGGAAGGTTAGAGGCGTTTTGGTTTTGGATTGTGTTAGCCAAGGTCTCGCTAGGCTAGAAAGATCAGACCTGTGATGCACTCGTGGCATTTAGAAGATATATACCCAATCACAACATAAAATAGAATGTCAGTAAATTCCCATTACCCAAGACACATTATCGCAACAGATATCATGTAGTTGGAAGTTTGAACGACGTTGACATGAAGCAGGTTCATCTGTATGTTCCATGGTAGTACAACGGAGTGAGGAGTCGCATAATAACCCTGGGGTATTGTAAACTGATCCTTCCCATCCCATCACATCATCTTCCTCCACCCTTCTTCATCTGTTTGTCCGTCCGTTCGCCTGGCTGTGGCGGTCCATCCCTCATGGTGTATCTCAATAAAGAACAAAAAAACTTTTTTTTCCCCTCTTCCCTTCGCTCTTTACAGTCATCATCTCTTCCTCTTCTCCCTTCTCTACAAGTACACTATGTACTGCTCTCCAAGAAAACAGAAAAGAAAGAACCCAAATAACCCCATTTTTCTATGTGATGTTCGTTCTTTTTGTAGGCCCATCACCAACCCACAAACCAATGATATCAATCCATGGAAACGAAAGCCAAATGTGCCACCACCGTCAGAAAAGCGTTGAAAATCAAAGAGTAATCGATCATGGGGTTCCGGTTCGTGACTCCACCCCTCCAAAACGCCGTTGGAAAATCATACAAGAGAAAGAGTAGAACCCGCTTGCCTGAGAAAACCAAGAAAGGAGGAGCGGAAAAAACTGTACGGCAAAATATGATCGGCACATGGAAGAGCGTAGCACGCCCGCAATATGACAGTCCCCAGGCTCATCTATCTTGGTTCATAAGCCGGTGGGGGAATGTCATGCTGGTGGCTGTCCTCCCAAAAAGCAGGATTGCGGTTCTTCTCGTCATACACACGGCGGGCAATCTCACCCGCAATTTTGGTGATCCAAGCTTGCTCAAGAATCACCGAGGACATATCTGGCTGAGGACCAGCACGTCCCCACTGTTGTTGTTGCTGTTGCTGAAACTGCTGCTGCTGGCCTTTGGCATCTGCGTAGATTGACGCAGTGGATTCGGCCTTTTCGGACACTCTGCTGGAATACGACGGCGGCATCTCCTGCGCCGACGTTTGTGGAGCTGGGCTGCTAGGGAACATGGAAGGCTGGCGAGTATACACATGCTCCTGGGGAGTGGCAGCCCGCGAGGGCTGGGCAGTCACGGGCACACTTGGGACAGCAGCACGCGGACCAGACGATTCAGAAGCTCTGGCAGATGTAGTAGCGTCTGTGGGAGGCCTGAACCTCACCTTGCTCTGGGATGCAGCCAGATCATCTTCTGGTACCTCCCGTATTGTTGTAGGGATGACAGGTTCAGACATGGGTGTACGGGTCGAAGCCTCAGAGTGGCTATCGCCAGCTTGGCTGCTGGTGCTACCGATCTCGCTGACAGGCTCACTCGCCGCCGTCTTGCTACGCAGGTTGACGACCCGCATCTTCTTCTTGCGGCCCGCCTTGGAATGCCTACCAGAACCCAGAGACAAGCCCGTAGTGGCGGACCCCATACTCACCAAGGTCGGCCTGGATAGAGCGTGACCACTAGCCTGACTGCTGTTGTCTGAGAAAGTGTAAGTATGGACACTTCCTTGGTACGAAGACGTCCGGTGGAGGTTGGGCGTAGATGCCGGAGTAGCTGTGGCATCAGGCTTGTCAGATTGCCCAGCCCAAGCTCTGAACACTACCTCGAGAATGTTTGGTGTTAAGAGAGATGAGGTACGGTGAGCACAAGCAAGGGCATCCATCTTTTCGAGGTTCCTTTGCGAGAACAACGATTGTGTCTCGGGACCCCCGTCAAGAGATAGTGACGAAATCTCGGCAGGATCCAGACGATGGCCATGCGCATCCACAGCGTCAAGTGGTGGTGTTGCCAGCGGGTTTATCGCCGCATCACTTTCCTCCTTGGCTTCCTCGTCCTCCTTTGGAACCTGATCCGGGCACCACAGTTGAAGCGAGAGACGATGGATGATTGCTGGAAGTTCATCCATGATCAGGTCTCGCAACTTCATCTCGATGGTTTTTTGAAGGTAATCCCTAACGAACTGAATGGAGTCGAAGGTCGAAGAGACCTTGAGAGACTCGAGAGGGTCATTTCGAAAGACTATTGTGAGGCCCTTTTGCTTGGAGAAAACTAGGATGATGAAGGCCGACAGCTTGATTTCGGACAGTGTGATCTGAAGCGGTATTGTAAGCGATGACGATGCCGTCAGGGGTTCTGGTGACGTGAAGCTGGGTTTGGCGGATATGTACGTGTTTAGCGGGTTCGCCTATCAGTTGGTTTATTAGCATCACTCTTGTCAACCCTGGACAGTGTTGGTGTAGCGCAAAAGAGACATGCAGCACCTGGACAGACCCCTGCTATGCGATCTTCGGTAATTTGGGGCAATGCGCCAAGGATGCCAAGTGAAATCTCCAGCCTTTCGGGAATTTTCTCGCGGGTGGGTGCCCAAGCCAGCTGAAGCACGAACGAGAAAGCCGTCCTCAGAAGTCCTGTTGTATGGTTTTTGTAATCCACACATATACAGTGTATCACCAGTCTTGAGCTTGCCAGAGCGCTGAGCACTTGCCCACCAGCTCGCCCACTCCCTTGATCCGAGAAATCGTCATGATCCCCGTCAGCTTGAAGAAAGCATGTTCCATGTTCGGAGCACTAGCCACAGTGGAGCCATGTCGTCGGGAGTAGGTACTGGCAAAAGTTCGTAGCGCTCGTCCAATGGTTCCTCGGATATTCATGTACCGCACTGCGCACTGCGCAGTAGCTTTCTCGACGAATGGTGGGGGAGAGAAAAAGGCAAAAGCAAAGCTCCCAATGTGGTGTGAGAGAGCCATTGACAAAAAATCCTGGAAAAGCCGTACCTGCACTCGTGTTGCCAAAGTCAAGAAGGCGTCGCCAGAATAGCACATTTTGAAAATGCCGCGGAACCTGTCTTCTGCCAAATCTCCTATTTCCAAAATCTCCAGGTCGGGCGGCACGGAGCCAAGGTTGAGTTCGGTCACGAAGATGTCATCGACAATGATCGGGGGCTTGGGCGACTTGTTCAAGGCTGTCGTGAGGAGGTCGCGTGCCCGTTCGTAGAAGCCGGCGTCGGCCGTCAGCGGCGACCAGTTGAAGTTGAAGGCCATATTGAGTTGGCGTTGTCTTTAGTCAGACATGGCAATTGGAGGGCGGGCTTTGAATATGGTTGCTTCCGTCGGTGCGGAGGAGACGCTGGGTCGTCGAAGATTGCTGGCCAAATTGCCAGCAATGACGGAGTTCGAAATGCGACCCAAAATGCACAATGCGTTCGACGATGCGCTCGGGATCGGTTGCGCAGCAGTGGTGACAGTAGAGATTCGACTCCCCGATCGAAGGATGTTGCGGAAAAGAGACCTGGGAGTCCGAGGTTGTGCGGTTTGGTATTGTAGAATTGGCAGAATTGCCCGGGGTAGCGGGTGTTGTAGGTAAGTTCACGTGCTGAGGTCGGCGGGAGTTGGAGATTACAATGGGGTCAGGATGTGGACAGGATGACCATGACGCTATTTTGTGGGCGGGCCTTTTTCTGAAATTTTTCGCGCGTGTCGCTCTTTCGTTCACTTCATGCACTGCAGTCAGAAGCAGGCAGGTGCAGGTGGTACGTGGGACCGCTGTGTGGCTTGGGGGTAGCAGTGCGGGTGGCACCGGATCTTCTGACGCTGTCGCTGATGCTCACTTGGCAGTCCCTCAGTGGGCTGACATTGGCTGGGGCGGCGATTTGGGTACAACGAGCGACTGATAGGTATGCTCAACTCCTGCTCGTTAATCGAACCGCGTGGAAGGCGTTTTGTCGTTCAATCAAGACTGGTTGAGGAATAGCATTGTTTATTAATTGACTACACTGCATAATATATGGAAGCGGTCAGGCAGAATGAAGTCTATAAGACAGCACACTAAGTCCGAGGTACGCATTGAAACACGCTCCAACCTATGCAGGGACAGTCGCTGCAACCGGACGTTAGCAGTGTCTTGCTTGATCTGCTTAATCGGCGCAGCTTGTTTAGCCGTTGACGAAACAAAAAGAAAGTGGAAAGGGGAGAATTGATGCGGATACTGGATGCCCTGCGGAACGTAAGGTACAACCTACTACAGTACCTCCCGTCTACTTGATGCCATATGAACAATGGGATGAATGCAGTGGGAGCAGCGGTGCGCTCTTGCCCTGCGGTTGTGAAGCAGCTGGAAACATGGAACACGCAAGGGCACTGGAACCCCCCAGCGGCACTCACCAATGACGACGCAGAGCCTCCCACCAAAACCCTCCAAGACAGCCCAGGAGAATGAGGGGAAATAATCCAATGCACTTCAAAGAGGCATATCGCATTGGCACATCGAACCAATGTCTCAGTCATCATTGGAACGGACTGAACGGTTGTTAGGGCCTTTCAAGTGGGTCTTGAGCCTCGGGAATGCGGAGGGGGAGGCAAGGTAAGCCTCACCAGTCGGGGAGAGCCCGGAGGTTTTTTCGACTTTAAATCCCGAGAGGGGTAACCCGTCGTGTGCTTTCGTTGTGAGGGACAGCCACACTTTTGTTTGTTTGGCTTTGGGCACTGATGAATCTTGTCCGTTATCCGTCGTTATCGGATCCATCGGCAGGACCCGTCACATTCGGGAAGCCTCGGTTTCTGGGGTATTTGTTTGGAGACGGGGACCGGGGCACCGGGCGGGGTCATGAAGATGAACCCGATGTTCTGGTGTCAGTGGAATGTTGTGTCTTCCGGGGTGGATACTCTGGAAAGGACGGTTCCCCAAACACCTACCTTGTGCTTATACGCAGTTACATGTATGTATGGTCAAGGGGGACATCACAGCGGCTTTGTGTTAATACGACTGTCCAATGCTCAGTTTTGCTGTGGTTCAAAAATAGATGCCTGGAACGTCTTCCCTTTCCATTCCGTACCTTGAATCCAAAAGATTGCTTGAACCATGGGTCACTTCGTTGACAAGACTTCATTACCATAGAGTCAAAGTGAAAGTTCAATGACAACTGACATTTAGCATCACAATATCAGACGAACTCCATTGCTGCCCTGATGATCTTCAGTGGCAAGAACAACTCAAGCTTCACTCAGCTCACCATTGCCAAGAAAGGCATCACTTACCAGTTACTGGCCCCGTTTGTTTAGGTTACACGTTGCCGCTAGCCCCAAACAATTCCTACCTTAGCTGAAACCGCGCCTCCTTTCTACGTCACAATGTCAATCAGCAAACTCCGACGGAAAACAACAAGCCAACTGCACTGCAGTCATTCATTGTTCAACTTCCAAACGAACTGAATTATAGTAAACGTAATCATGTCACCAAAACCAGTAGCAGACCTAGCCAGCTTGAAAGGCACCAATTGCCAGTTCAAGTTCATCGGTGAAGGCGCCGCCAACATAGTCTTTGAGGTTGTGTTTCCTGAGGAAGACATCACCACTCAGGATGATGGCCATAGTCAGATCTTGGACATCCTGCAAGGTGACTATTACCTTTAGCCCCAATCACCACATGAGACGTCAATACTAAGATCATCACAGGGAAACTCTTACGAGTACCAAAGGCCAATACCAAAGCCTTTCCACACCCCGAAATCCTTCAGTACTGGGAGTCATCCATCAGTCCACTCTTCGATAACCCCCAGGAAGACCTAGTACAGCAGTACCTCATTCGTCTAGACAATTCCGTCGTCTCGCAACTCAATGCAATTCTTGAAAATGAAGACGCCCAGCGTAGGGCAGATTTCCAGGGTACCAAGGTAGCCGAGGCGGAGTATGGCATGTTGGTTGAGGATATGAGGAAGAGTTCGTCCTTCTTTACCTTCTCCCCCCCCCCCTTCCCTCCAGTACTTTTGTCTCTAACTTAAACTCCCTCCACAGAATCCCCATTAGACTTCCTTCTAGAATTCAAACCCAAATGGCTCACCCCTTCCCCCTCCGCCCCCTCTACCGCCACGCGCTGCCGTAACTGTGCCCGCGAAGCCTACCGCCTACACAAATCGCTTCGCTCCGCTTCCTCCGACCAAAACTCCTCCTGTGCCCTTAGCCACGAGCCACCGTTCTGCCCCCTCGAGTACCTAGCCGCTCAATCCTCGCCCTGCTCTCTAGCCCGAGTCATCGCATCCATGAACCTCTCCGCCACTTCCGCTTCTTTGGACACCAAGCCAGCGATGAGGGAGAATCCCGTCGGTGTGCAACCGGCTGTTTCTCTGGATGGCGAGGACGATGGCAGGCCAGGAATGGACCAAGTAGACGAGCGCTACCGCGTCGCGCTTGTTCACTGGCTGCAAAGCAATTCGTTGCTGCCCAAGCTGCGGGACGCGCAAGAGAGCTTGGACCCGGCGCCGGAGGGGACGAGTGACCAGGAGAAGCTGGCGTTGGCGATGACGTTGAGGGATTGTACCTGTTTTGTGAGGATATCGGAAGACTCGAAGGGAGGCTTGAAGGTGGAAGCCAAGCTGGCGGATTTGGATAAGAAGAATTGGGAGGCCAAGTTGGAGTATTGGAAGGGGATGGATGAGGTGTTGAAAGAGGGGGGGTATTATGAGGGGGTGGAGGTGCCGAGGATTCGGACGAGGTGTTTCATGGAGGTTGGGGCAGGGGAGGCGCCCTGAGAGTTTATGCCATTGATGTTGTCATGGGCTTTCAAGGGAGATGGATGGGCACTTGTAATGGTGATGGCTCGGTGCCGTGCTGGCCTTTAACAACCCTAAATGATGAACGATAAAGCGCCGTTTTCCTTACCCAACACTAGCAATGCAATTTGTGACTCCCTGGCTGTTTAGCACCCATGAACGCCATAACTCCCTTTACTCAACATAATCCGAATCAGATGCCACACGGTAACGCCGCCTCCGAGCCGCCTACTGCGCTGAACGCTCCTCGACTTCCTTCTAGGCAGCCTTAGCGCTCTCCACCCTCAGTGCCTCCAGCCGTTTCTGCTTCTTCTCCAACTCCTCCATCATCTGCTTCTTCATCTCATCCACCTTTAGCTTCGCCTCCTTGAGCTTCTGAATCTCCAACTGCTCCGTCTCCCGACTGAACGGCTGCCCGGGTCTATTAACCAGAGGAATCATCGCGCTCCTCTCCAGCACGCCTCCCTCGGACTTTTGTATCACAAACGGCTCCTCTTTTGACTCGTTATTGTTCTTCCCGTCCTTGCTCGTGCTCACACTAGCCCGCGAGTGACTCCTCTCGTGCCCTTTCTTATTTCCGCCCTTGCTGCTGCTCGCCCCGGGCGTGTTCGCGCTGGTCGGCGTCGCGGCGCCACTACCGCCGCCGCCGCCGCTGCCGTCTTTCAGTGTTGAAGCCGATGGCGGGAGGGCGCCCGAGATGAGGATATCGTAAAAGGGCTCGTAGGGTTCGTTGAAGATCTGTTCCTCGTATACCCAGGAAATGACCTCGCCGCCGTTGAGGCGCATAGCTTCCTTCTCTTCTTCGGTGCGGCCGAATGGGTGCAGGCGCAGATGGTGATAGAGCGTTTGAGGCTTCTCGGAGGATTCGGGGACGTAGTACAGCTTCATGGTGATTTCGAACTCACCCCAGCCGGTCTCGTGTATTTGGAAGGGTTGGCCTTTGACCCCTTCTACCACTGGACAGAGGGACACGGTTGATTAGCTTAGGTCGAAGCGGATGGAAGGAGGTATGACAACCGGAGGTAGGGACGTACTTCGAACATGGTTTGGAATGGACTCGTGAAGCTTAAACTGAACGCGCCGAAGCCAGTACGTAATGTCCACATCGTCGATGCCCTTGATGAAAACGGTCCAAGAGTGCGTGTGATCATCTGGAATGCCGGGCGGTTTGGGGTTGGTCTTTTCGTCGAAGGGCCGTGCTGTTGTTCCGTAAACGAAGGGTCGAAATATTTGAACGCCCTTGACACGCTTGCCTGTAGGTGGTGCCATCTTTTTTGGCGGTGATGGTTATGGATAGATTGAAGCTGTTCGAAGTGTTGAGATTCGCGCTGCTTCGCGGTGGTTTCGACAGACGCGGTAGGCCAATTGGTAAAGCTATAGTTATAGCGATATAGCTGGGCAACCGCAAGTCGTTTATCAGACCTGAATTCGACTAGACGACTGTGTACGGGAGGAGTGATTCTTGAAGAAGTGAAGATGGCGCAAAGAGAACAAAATGATGATTACAGGATTACAAAAGTGCCACCACCAGCAAGGTACCTGCATGAAGGATGGAGAAAAAAGTCGGGCGTGTTCCAGCCTGGAATGCGGGGCAGAGAAGCCCAACTGTTAAGGTTCCCTTTCCCTCCGGGGTTTAGCGGACCCTTGGCCCTGCGAATTTATCGAAAAACATCAGTGCCACCCTTGTAGATGATCGTTCGATAAGGATTTTTCGAGTCTGGATAACGGATCGGGGCTTTCCATGATGCAATCGTCTGGGGTTTCGATTGTTTACTTCTGCGGATAGAAAATCGGAGAGGAAACCTGGAAGCGTAACCTAGCTTATTGCCGAGAAAGAGTCTGAGAAACATAAAAAGAACCTGACCAGCCAATGTGTTTGAGCTACCTATTCTTGAGATAATATCTTTCTTCCCAAGCTCTCACCCTCAAGCAAGCTTCCATCATGTCGTCCGCCGCAAAGAAGCTTATCGTCGCCGGAGGCAACGGTTTCCTGGGCTCCAGGATCTGTCAGGCGGCTGTCCACAGAGGATGGGATGTAACATCTATCAGGTATCATACTCAGACACCTCCCTCCTTGACTGATCATTTCACCCTTTGCAAATGGTCGAACTGACCACCTCTTCTACGTCCAGTCGCTCCGGCCAACCCAACTGGTCTTCCGTATCCGCCTCCCCCTCCGCTCCCTCCTGGTCGACCGCCGTTTCTTGGGAGCGCGCCGACATATTCCGCCCCGCCGAATGGATCGCCCTCCTGAACGGTGCTGACTATGTCGTCCATTCTTTGGGCATCCTCCTCGAAGCCGACTACAAGGGCGTCATCTCCGGTCGGGAGTCTCCTATTGCAGGCCTTCAGAAGGCCTTCTCGCCCCGTCACACCCCAAACCCGCTCGAGCGTCGTCCTGGTGACGAGCTCCGTCCTCCGACCAACGCGAACCAGTTGACCTACGAGATGATGAACCGCGATAGCGCCATCCTGCTCGCCAAGGAGGCCGCTAACAAGGGCGTCAAGGGCTTTGGCTACATTTCCGCTGCGGGAGGAGCTCCCGTATTGCCGAGCAGGTATATCTCAACCAAGAGGGAGGCTGAGGACGTGATTGCGCGGGAGTTCCCCGACATGCGGAGTGTATTCTTCAGGCCGCCATTTATGTACGACAGCTCGCGGCCTGTGACGATGCCGTTGGCGGCGATGACCATGGCGGGAAGTATCTTCAACGGGGCCACAGGAGGAGTGCTATCCAACTTCTTGGGGAGTGCGGGGACGAAGCCTCTTAAGGCAGATCTGGTTGCGGAGGCGGTGGTGGAAGGATTGGACGATACAGCGGTTAAAGGGGCAGTTGAGGTCCCCGAGCTGGAGACGTTGGCGAACAAGGGCTGGAGGAGAACTATGCTTTGAAAGCAAGGAATCGGCTCAAGTGGTCTGTATTTTACCTGAATCATAACCTTGGCAATGTATAAAACGATGATGCTTGATATATAAAAACCAATAATCAATCCTTCAACGCCGTTTCCTCTTCGCATGAAGCCCAGAGTCACCCTAAACCATGGTTCCTCTCTCAAAGCTGTCCCTAATCTCTGCCGTGTACTTGTTATAGAACCTCGACAGCTTCTGGTTGAACTGCTTGTTCTTCTCGTTGATGTACGTGACGTCCGCATCGTCGCCGTTGTTCGCCATCCGCTCCCTCCTTTTCTTAAGGCTGGCCTCCTCGGCCTTGCGCATATCGGCCACCAGTCGATCAACGGCCGCCTTGTCGGGCTTGTGTTGCGCGAACTGCGTCGAGTCTGCCGTGCTAAAGAAGGTGCCGTCCTTATCAATCGCAATCATCTCTCCATCCTCTGTCTCAACAATCTCCAATGTGCCAGCCGCCGCAGCCTTTTCGATCGCCGCCAACTTTTCGCGCGTGTACCTCTCCAAATCGGGTCCTCCCATGTTGCGCAGTTGCCGCTTGTAGGACTTTTCGGCTTGTTGGTTGTAGTCGCGGAAGGCAGTGTCATCGCGGTGCGCCTCCTTCTTTTTCATGCGCTTGTCCCACCGCTCTGATTCCTCGACCGTCCAGTCCCAAGCCCGCTTGCGCTCAAAGTCGCCCCCGGCATCTTCAATGTCGGCTTTCAGCAGCTTGTGGGAGGCAATCGCGTGGCGACGGCCGAGGGCAGTGAGTTGGCTAGGGTCGCTCTGGAGGCGCTGGGATTCCTTGGTGGCTTCTTTGAGATTTTGCTGCGAGGATGACTTGGCGCGGGCTTGGAGGGCACGGAAACGCTCGGCACGCTCGCGAGCTTTGGCGGCCGCAGAGTCTGCAGCAGAGGTGGATGTGGGTGGAGTTGACGAGGACTGAGATGTTGCTGCGGTGTCAGGTTGTGCGGTCTCCGAGGCTGATAGAACCGGTGGTGATGAAGATGACGTCGTTGCGAGCGCTGCTTCTGTGACCGATGGCTCCTCCTTGGAATCGGTCGCGGTTTGATCATTCGGCTCTGTCGTGGACTCGGCGACGGCGTTTTCTTGTTGAGTGACTTCTGCCTTGTCTTCAGGCTCGGTCTTTCTTTTCTTTTCAGGAGGCATTTTCAATAGACTTCGTTTTGTTGAGATGTGTTGTGTGGGTAAGTAGTTGTGTGGTGTGAAATCCGGATTGTGTCAATGAAGCGGAAAGAAAACAGCCTCTCTGAAGCTGCTGTGCTGTGCTGCTGTGCCTGGGCTGGTCTGGACGCTGGGGCCAGCCAGTGCCTGGCAAGACGGAAAGTGGAATGCTGAGCAAGCCTTTCTACAGCGATTGTATACGATAGAGTGATGCATAAGTGGGCCGTGAGAGCCTGTCTTTTAGGTTTAGCGCCGATCATTACAGGACATTTAGCGGCTTTCTACCTAGCGCTCCTTCCCCAGATTTTGCAGACAGCGCCAAGAGGGGGGAGTTGAACGTCTCGGCCCGCCTCGTACCTTCTCCGTGCCGTCTTCGACCAAATTGAACTTGCACTCTTGACCATAAAGTACCTTTGTACCTGTTACACAGAACACGGCATCGCAACCAATATGAAAGGAATATTAGGCAGACCGGCCGAGGAGACGAGGAGAAAATGGAAGGCACCGCGGGAGGGTGCAACCGGTCAAGAGGGAAGGAGGGTTTACTTGACTGATTGATGGTTCATTGAGTGCTCTCCTTCTCGCCGTTACCCTCTTGCCCTATGCCCTATGCCGCCAGCTTCGCACATTCAATACTCACCTTGTGTTTCTTCACAGTTCAAGTTGGTGACACAAAGTCCAGCCTCGTTTCCTCCCAATCACAGCAGTTCCCAGCCGCCAGTAACGCCTACAGTCGTCGCGTATCTTGTCTGGTAAGGCTGGATCGCCAACTCTCACGCGCAAGTGGACGGCAAGCATGATACCTTATCGGAGGTGTTGCTGGCCTGCATTATCTCGGCTTCAGCTAGTCACAATATCCTCACCAAGATGGCACCTTCGGGCATTTCAGCGAGTCCAGGTTTCGGCCGCCTACTCCATAATGCCTAAAAGGAAGAAGAAAGAGAAAACCACAGAGAGCTTGGTTGACGTTGATGACTCCTTTTTCACCTCGAATTCTCAAAAATCCGGAGACATCCAGGGAGTCGAAGCTGGACTGGATGAGCCTCGAGTGGAAAGCCCAAGAGTCCGCAGAAAGGAGATGCGGGAGCTTAGGAACCGGTACTTTTGGAAGCACTGGGTGCAAAAGCACCCAAACTACGTCTGGAATAGGGCTAGTCGCAGAGATCAACAAAGGTCCACGATCAACAAAGATGGACTTCATACAAAGACCAATGATGAGAGTGTTGTCAACTATCCTGAAACTGAAGCTGAAAGAAGACAGGAGAGAGTCAACCTCTGGAATACGTGGCTTATGAACCACCCGACTTTCAAGCACAGCAAAGTCGGCCAGTTAAAAAGCACGGGGAAAATCAAGGGCTATGTTCAAGCCAGCCTCATGAGAGATCGAGCTAACAGGGTCGGTCGTTACTTCAGAACCCTAAGAGTCGGTCAAGAAAACAACAATTTTCTTCGTTTTCAAAAGATTCCAGTGAAAGATCGCTTGATGAAGAGACTCGTTCGGAAGATCGACTTCAGATCCGCCAAGTTCGGCCAAGCCTATTTCAGGCGCTTGAGAGTAGGCCAGATTCACAATGACTTCCTCAAGTTCCACAAGGTCGACCTGAGAAGGCCTCAGCCAGGGCGAATCCACCTCAGAAGCCTTCGACTTGGCAGTGATTCCAAGTTCGACAGGTTCAGGAAGATTCTCTTCGACGCAGATGGCGACCTCAAGGCACGCAGGAAGAAGGAAAGGAGAAGCAGTAAAGACCTCACGGAAGACCATTGGAAGAAAATGACTAAGAAGACACCCGAGAATATCGCTGCCGAAGAAAAGGAACAAAAACTGGCAAGAGGAATCCCCGACCATTGGACGATTGAGCAATGGGAATACATCACCAAGTTTCCCAACCACAGGACTGCAGAGGAATGGAAGAGGATGAGGAACTTCTCAAGTGATCTCGGCCACAAGCGAGCTATTGCGAAAGCGGTCGAACTAGAAACCTATCAAATATCCGACCTGGTGCTGGAGCTGGACGCCCACGACAATCCCTTTGTTCGTCCGTTCAACGCAGACGATGCAGCTGAACAGACCAAGCAGTGGCCGCACCTCGACCCAGATCAGCAAGAGATTGTCAGACGCGCGATCTCTGTCGCCGAAACTGTTGCTGAATCCAAAACAAAATGGAAGTCACCATTGTTACCATTCGATCACCGTCGGATAACAGAACGTGATGTCCTGTCAGTGGCATTACTCGGCATTGTCTCCGAGTCCACGGGGTTACAAAACCACCCAACATCGGAATCAGGCACTCACGAACCAAGTCTTGGATTCCTCACCATGTCCGACCTCCTCGAAATAGGTGTACCTGTTTCATACTCAGCAAACCCTCAGCGTCTCACCCACCTCCTACTCCACCGCATCGAAAAAGCCCAATTCCCCGCCCACCAAGAAGTCAACTTCCCCCCATCCTCGCTCTTAGAAGCCCTAATTCAGTCCTCATCCTTCCACCAGCTCCGCCGCATCATCGCTCCCCTGCTTCACACAGAAGAAGGCTGTTTTCTCATCTCCCAGTGCCAGGATACCATCCTAGCAGCATGCAGCAGCAAAAACGGTTACAGTGTTGATGACGGGTACTACGTCTCCACGGTCTTTGTCTTTCTCAGAACCATCGCCAGCCGTTTGGCAATGATGGATCTTAGATTTGAGATACCCGCGGACCTTTGGCCTACTAGATATGCCGATTTGTTCTTTCTGGAGTGTCCGGGGCTAGTAGTAGCGGGAGCGGATGAGCAGGATGGTGGAAGCGCTGGACAACTTGAAAGAGACGAAGAAGAAGCACAGGAAGAAGGAGAAGAACCCTTAGAGAGGGACGCGGAATAGGCATCCACTCAGGGTATTGAGCTTTCTTTAAGGTCGGGAGAAAGTTGATCCAGTTAGATGAAGTATTGGGCCAGTCTTGCATTTTGGTAGGGGCAAGGCTGGATGGATTAGATGTTTGTGTTATCATAGTCAGTTTTTGTGTCAAGGTAACCTTTCTTGCAGTAACGCCAGCCAAAGCGTACTGCCCCGTTCCATAATCATCCAGTTAACTGATTATTATTGCTAAATAACTTTTCCAAGAACCGCAAACGATATTCAAGTTGCACAACCCTCGTTAGGCATCGCCCGGGATTGGCTCCCACGTAGAAACTACCTTACTTGATATCTTCAGCGTTGACTCACTCACCACTCCAATTTTCCTTAGCCCTGTAGATTTGAAGACATGATGAAGGCCTAGGGTATGGGTGGTTGCAAGCCGTCGGATTTCCCAGTGTACACATGAAAGCTGAGACTTTAGCCTGGGGGAAGCATATCATTGGATCCAGTCCGCGCGCGGTAGCCGGTGTGTGAGAACACAACATAATCCCATCGGGGAAGAAAAGCCAAGCATTTCTTCTCCCTCCTTCCTTTCCTTGGATCACATCCACCACAAGACTCGACATGGCAGAAGAAACGACCTCACCCACAATACCTTCGGTTAGTCTGCAGAGTGTGACCTCGTAAACTCGGGTACGAACCGAAAGAAACTTACACGTGTTTTGATCAGGTTGTTGTCGCGCAGTTGCCAATCGTTCCGTCTTCAGCCCAATACCGGAGGGAATACGGAGTGATACCTACCCCTGCGCCTCTTCTCGTCTTACACACCACTATTACAGTCTCAGTGTCTCGCAAAAGCCAATCATGGTAGCAGTAACCGCTTGGTCGGTATCGGGTCGCAGATTTTGTACGACTGCTGGGCTGAACCTTTCAATTAACGTTTTGCTTTCCGACTGGTTGCTTTCTTGTTCTCGAGACCATCGGGACGCCTCCAGGTGGCTATGAGTCTAGGCTGGTTCCCTGGACAGGTTTTTGTTAAAGAGAGACGAGTAGACGAGTGGTGGCCAGCTCACCTTTAGGGCTGTCTCCTCCGACATCGTCAAACTTGGCACCGCGATGTTTTCTTCGGGGTTAGTTGTGAAAGGGAAACTTCCGTAGAACCCTCGTTTGTTTGTTGGCCCCTCTCATGCCTTTTGCCGTCTTCTTCTTCTTCTTCTTCTTCTTCTGTTATCGTCAGTTCCATCCCTCAACGAGTGCTGTCTGATCACTCTTCAGCTCCGCGTTGCTGGAGTGCCTACGCCGCCGCCGTGGTTAAGTGAAAGCATGGAAGGGGTTGCTCCAATCACTCGCTTGTCAATATGATTTCTACACAGGTCCTGTGTCTAGGAGCATCGTCGTGGCAGCCTAGACCATCGACGACGCAACGACCTTCACGATCGCCGCTCATTCCTCAGTCATGGAGACTTCTCCTAGTGCCCCTATTTCTCACCATCATCCAAGTCTCCCACGCCCAGCTCGACCCCATTAGAAACTTCTGCCGAATTTTTGGCCACCAAACCGCCGTGATCGACAACAGGCTCTACATAGACGGTGGTTTCATCAACTACAACCCCATCTCCCAGTATCCAGCCAACTACACGAGTGAGCGAGTTTGCCACCCTGCCGCGGTACTCTCACGGCTGACATTTGTCTCACAGACGCCGGTCTCCTCTACCTCGACCTCTCAACCATCACCGAATCCGGCATGCCCCCTCTCTTGTCCACCTCTCCACCAAAGAACTCCTCCGTCCCCTCCGTTCACGGCGCCGCCCTCTGGGCCGACCAACTCAACAAGCGATTGTATCTCTTTGGCGGCGAATCTCCCCCTTCGCTTCCTACGTCGAATTACTACCTGCCCTCGTTATGGTCCTTTGACGCCGTGTCGGAAGATTGGGAATTGGTTGCCCCCAAGAACAACCCAAATCAGGTGAAGATAGACGGAGTGTCGTACGGAGCTGGGGCCAGCGTGGAAGAGAGAGGGGAAGGGTATTATTTTGGTGGATGGATTTCTGATAGTAGTACGGGGAATTCGACGGGAGTGGCGTCAGGGGGGTTGGTGAAATTTGATTTTGATGAGGGGCAGTGGTTGAGGAATGAAGGGCCTGATCAAGATGAAAATGCAAAAGTAGGGAGGGCGGAAGGAGCTATGGTGTTCATCCCCATTGGGGATGGCGGGATGTTGGTTTACTTTGGGGGACTGATGCAGAGCCAGAGTGAAGATGATGAAAAGAGTGGGAATGTGACAACAGAAGGCCAGCCGATGGAGATGATTTATCTGTATGATGTGCTGAGTAGTAAGTGGTACGTGCAGAACGCAACGGGGGAGGTTCCGGGTAAGAGGCGACGGTTCTGCGCCGGTGCGACGTGGGCAGGTGATAAGAGCAGCTATAATATGTGAGTGTGTTCTCTGATGGCCCCTCATCAACCCCTTTTCCTAGCATATGGCCACTGACAAGATGCCAACAGATACATCTATGGCGGTGCCTCGACTCCCCCGGACAATCACCCTGGTTACGACGACGTATACATCCTTACCATTCCCTCCTTCCAATGGCTGAAGCTGTATCCCAAGCCCTCCGACAACTCTGACCCAAGTCAAAATAGCCAGCAAGGGGGAGCTTACCCCCATCACTCTCTGACCTGCAATGTCATTTCCCAGGCCCAGATGCTGATTATTGGGGGAAGCTTCCCCGTCTCGGCCGACTGTGATGTGCCCTCCCAGTTCGGCACACATAATCTCGACTTAGGCGAGCAAAATACCAAGAAGGAACCGTGGCAGTTGTTCGACTCAAATTTGACCACGTATACCGTGCCGGATGCGGTGGTAAAGGTAGTGGGAGGTGGAAAGGACGGCAGAGCGACCAAGAGGGAACCTGAGAAGGGCTGGGCACATCCGGATTTGAAGGTCCTGCTGACGAGAGAAGCAAAGTTTGCGGCGAGAACTGCAACGCGGAGTGTCCCGAGTGCGACAGGTAGTTCTGATGCGAACAGAGGAGGGACAGACCTTTCGAAGGGGGCAATTGCTGGAATCGCGGTTGGTGGAGCAGTTGCTATTGTTGCGGCGCTGGTCGGGGCTTGTTGGTTCATCAGGCGACATCGACAACGAAGGATTCTGGACCAGAAGAACAGAAGGGAGAAGTCTCTTGCTGATGGCGCCAGGTTAGGTACTGTGGCTTCACACTCGGATATGCCACCATGGAGCCCGGGGATGACGGCTACAACCGGATATACATCCACAAGTCCGTGTTCTGATGGCCCGTTCCAGAGACAGCAACAGGGGAATAGCGCTTTTTCGGTCGTTGTTCCTCGCCCGCCCGCGGAGTTGGAAGGAAATACGTACTGGCAGGGGCCAGACGGCGTAACGTACGAGCTGACAAGTCCGGGGTCGGTGGTATCTGAACAGCACCAGCAAACTCTCCAAACCAAGGTCGATTCCCAAGGACGGGTATGGATGCAGGTCCCACCAGCAGGAAGATGTGATCACGGTAGTCCTATGTCAAGGCATAGGACAGTAACCAGAATTGGGTCAGAGTCTGGGACGCCCACAACAACAACAACAACTACAGCTGACCCTCATGGGACGAAGTCCCCAATATCACCGACACACTCGCCGACAGAGCCACAAGAACTCGGCGTCAATCCGAAACGCGGAAGTACGGATGCCACAACAATCTTGACGGGTTCGGCAGGCTGGGATGCGGCAAGGGGGAGACCTAAGCATCACACTTTCTATCATCCATGAACAGGCGTTTCTGCTAAAGTGTCTCTTAGCCTTCATCAACAGAGATCCTGAAGTTTTAGGATTGTTTGACCAAGGGGGGGTCGAAGATGGCCTAAGTCTGCCAGTACAATACCTGTATGTAAACATAACAATGATTTTCTTCTCGCTTTGTCCATTTCCTTTTTTTCTTTTCAATTTTTTTTTCCGTTGTTGCTGCTGTCGAGCGACGTTGGTGATATCAGAACGTACGCGCGGAGGACTGAAGGGAACACAACCTGAAATGTTGAAGACTCCTCGGGTTTGGTAGAGTTCAAGTCAAAGAGCCGAGACCGTCCACAGAACGTGACTGCAATCCGTTCAATTGCGCACCGTGGCCACAGGAAAAGAGTCACACCTTCCCTGACCTCGGCTGATATGCTACTTACCTAAAACTTATAATGTCGTTCTTGTTGCTCCTCTCGATCATAGGGAAGGCGCGATAACTGGCGACCAGTCAGAACGGCAATGGTCACAACCCAATGATGACGTGATGGGTGTGCACTTCTATCCTCTGGGAAGGCCCGACTGGTGAAGAACAAGTTTAGGGCGATGCCCTGATGGATGCTTTCTAATCGAGATGTCGTCGCTGCACGTTGAAAATCTGTCGATCGCCTCGTAGAGTACCAGTAACTCCATCATGGCAAGTGGTTCTTTTTCGGTGTTTGGTGGCAGGTGTCGAGTTGGATTGCAGACGTGAACACAAACAATACTAGTAGTATGTAGCTCAGGAAGTGGTAACTATGGCTGTAATTACGGTAATGCCTCCACCCTTTGTGATCCACAGCACCAAAACCTGAACCTGCCGGTGGATAATCGTACTACATGTAGTATTTACAGCGGCATATTCGTCACCATGGTAACGACAAGCTGATCAAATTGTCCGGGACAGTTGCAGCGCGACACCCTCGATCTATCTCAAATTATCTCCCATTTTCTCATCCCCGAACTTCCACCTGCAAGACACGAAGCCGTCCGCTCACCACCACTGCCATGGAACCCTTTCGACCGGCGCCCATCGAGCCGTATCGCGTACTAGTCCACAATTACCCATCCCACGACCCCGACTCCAACCGCCTCGCCCAAGCCTACGAGTATGAGACCGATGGCCTCAAGAGAAACGCGCTTATTTTTCTGGGTGGTCTTGGTGACGGCCCTCATGGTATTCCATATGTCAAAAAGATAGCTAATGCTATTGCTGGTGAATCTGACTACGCGGTCTACGAACCCCGACTCAGCAGCGCCTTCTCGGCCTGGGGATACGGTAGCCTCCACAGCGACGTCAAGGAAATTAGTGCTTTGGTCAAGTATTTGCGCACCACGACGTTTAAGATGGGCAGGATCGTGCTGATGGGCCACTCCACGGGCTGTCAGGACTGCATGTACTACGCCACACACGGCGATGAGATGGGGCTCGAGAAGGTAGAAGGGTTCATCTTGCAGGGACCAGTGTCGGATCGCGAGGCGATTCTGGCAGTCTTTGAGGAGGAGTCGCCCGGGAAGGGACAGGCAAGGATGGACTTGAGCGTTCAAGTTGCGAAGAAGATGATAAGCGAAGGAACGGCACAAGATTGCATGCCGCGAGAGTGGTTGCCAAAGGAGTTTTGGGCTTCTCCGGTTTCTGCTTATAGGTGGTTTTCGTTGGCGAGCTTTGGGTGAGTTTTCTTTGTCCGTGTTGTGGTCAACAGTGCTGACGATGGATATCTCATATCAGCGGTGACGATGACTACTTCTCGTCGGACCTACCAGATGAAAAACTGGCCGAGATTTGGGGCAAGGTTTCCAAGCCGACTCTTATTCTGCCATCCGAGAACGACGAGCACGTTCCAGAGTGGATTGACGTTGTTGATATGATGGCCAGGTGGAAGAGATTCTGTCAGGAAGATGTAATCTCGAGCTTATCGGGCCTCATCCCCGAGGCAGATCACCGAGTGGAATTTGGCCCGGCTGGGGAGCCGGCGAACCTGGCGCAAAGCTGGCTCTATGATCGGGTGCATGCCTTTCTGACGCAGCTGGAGCGGCACGGGCAAGAAGAAGCCATCGATGCTGCTACCGAGTCCCAGTAATTTGTGACCGATAGCCGTAGATAACATGTCAGGAATCAAACGGGACTTTGGTGATATCCTCGCATTCGGGGACTACTCAAGAAACCATGGATGACTAATCTGGATCAAGCATACCTCTATCGCGGATCCCTTTCATGATGGTGGTCCCCGTAATCACTGGAGCCCTCTCCGGGACACCGGGACGGGATCTTTGGGTGCCGCTGTTTGGGATTTTGGTCGCCGAAGTGCCGCTGCGGGTCTTGGAATTCAGGTTGCTATTGCCCTGCCGGCTAAGCCCCGGGAGTTCGGCGACCCTTTGACTCAATGATACCTTACGAAGGGGCATTCCAACAGCTACAATAAGGCCGTCAAGACAGAAACACCATCTTGGGTCCAACTATATAAAAGAAGAATAAACCATCCCGCAACTACCGCATTTTCTTTCCGGTCAACCATCTCCAAATCCAACATCCCAAACTACCTCTACCAAAATGTGCATGAGCGCGACTTGCCCTACCTGCTGTAAGTTTCCGTATCGCCTGCTGAAACTTTCATATACAGCGTATCCAATCACCCCCCGCATTTGCTTATCGCTGCCTCTGACTTCAACCCCGCCATCGCTTGTTCGAGCTCTCAACATGGCCTCGTAAACCGGGCACTCGAACTGATTCAAGTTCATTTCTGTTCACTAACGACTTCCAACAGCCAAGCAAGCGTGGCGTGGCTGCGGCTCCCACGTCCCCTCCGTCTTCGCGGGCGTCCCCGAAGACAAGTGGTGCACCTGCGAGCCCAAGGTCGAAGTCAACGGCGTTCAGTATCCTCCTCAGGCGAAGTCTACGGGTTTTTTCAGCGGACTGATGGGTGGTAAATAAGCGGGATGATACCATGGCGTTCATGAACGACGGGGTCGAGAAAACTTGGGATGATGATGGGATGCTTTAAATCGACAATCAAACATAACAAGACCACTGATGTTCGGAACTATTTGCCCGGCATCGGCCTCGTCATGAGGGGTCCGAGGGGGCCTTTGCACTTGCTGCCTTTCATTGATTGGTACATTTTACTCAAGTTCTCGGCTTGCACTGGCCTGGCTTTCTCTATCAATGACTTTTGCTGACTCACCTATCTTCTTATTTTTCCTTGCTCCTCTTGCCTTATCATACTTGGCCGACAAAGCCTCATCACCCATCAGTGATCATCCAGGTTGACAATCTCTTTCCACTCAACCAAACAATGACGCCCTAAACCTCACCTTCTTCCCATTCCCATCCATACCACATCCTACCTCCCGGGTATCTCCCGATCCCCCTTATCCTCATCCCCTTTCTCCCCATTTACACCACAACCACCCCCCTCCCTTCCCATAACCTAATTATGGCTCTCCTCCTCCTTCTCCCCTTTCTCATCTTCCTCCTCCACAACCTCATCTACAAACCCCTCACCTCCCCTCTCTCTTCTCTTCCAGGCCCTCTTTACACGAAATTCACCTCCCTCGTCCTTAAGTACCATGAACTCCGCGCCAACCGCACGCGGTGGATCCACGCCCTCCACCTCCGTTACGGGCCTGTGGTCCGTATCGCCCCGAACGAAGTGAGCTTTGCGTCAAGGGAAGGGGTGAAGGAAATTTACTGCTCCGGTGGAAGCGGGTTTGATAAGTCGGGCTGGTATGATTTGTTCAAGATATACGGACGGAGGTGGGTACTGTGCTTTCATTTTTTTTTTCTGGTGACGTGGGAATCTGGGAGTTGGCAGGCAAGATAAAGTGTGAAAGGTGGCAGAATGGGGTAGGGCGGGGATGGGGAAAAGGGAGATGTTGGTTAGAGGAGGAGGAAAAAGTGGAAAGAAGAGGAGGATGAGGAAGCGGAAAGGGAGTGCATTGCGGCTCAGACATCATGGATGGCTTAGTTAATATGCTTTGGTCTCGAGGTGCTGATTTGTGTGCTTTTTTTCAGGACGATGTTTACGTTTTTGAGGAAAGACGACGTGAGTCTAATCGCTGAACGTAGCTCAAAAATGTACTTCCAAGCTACTAATTTTCATGATTCAAGCATGCGAAACGGAAACGAATTCTCGCGGACCGCTATGCCAACAGCAATGTTATGCGTCAAACACCTCTCAGTGGCATTGTCGAACGGGCGGACAGGGTAGTCAAGAGGTGTGCGGAGTCCTTGGGCGGAAGCCTCGATCTATATGTAAGCTTATTGCACAATATGATACGGAGACCACGCCAACTCATAACTGACCTGCTCCCTAGATTTGTGAGTTTTCTTCTGGGTTCCATGATGAACACCACCAGGTAAATGTTGAACGCAACAACTTACACTCCAGCACGCAGGCCTTCACTCATACGCCTATGACTGCGTAACGCACCACTTGTTCCATCCCTATGGGACGGATTCGCTTCGGGACAAGCAAGATGAGGAGATTATGCGCGAAATAACGTTCGACGACAGTTTGCAAAGTGAGTGCCCCAAGTGACCCCCCTTCCCCTCCCCCACGATTTACAAGGCCACGCCAATTTACTGGCCACCTGGACGAAACGAATGGCTGACTTACCTACTACTCACCGAAAAAAAAAAAGACCGCCAACTAAGTTACTACAGTCCCACCTTACACAAGGCAATCTCCAAAATCCTCTACATCTGTGGCATCAAGCCGCGCGAGACTCCTCTAGCCGATAAGTTCATCCTCGACACCGCCGCCAAGACGGACGCAGCACCTTTCACCCTTCTCGACCGCCTTCACAGCGTGAGGCTGGGCAGCAGTAACGGTCACGGGGAGCACGACGGTAAAGACAGTAAAATCGGACAGATAGACCAGCTCGACATCGCTGCGGAACTCCTCGATCACATGGTAGCCGGCATCGATACCACTGGCGACGCGCTCTGCTTCCTCATGTGGGAGCTCTCGCAGCCGCGATCTCGTCAAATTCAAACCAAGATACGGGAAGAAGTGCTTTCTCACCCTTCGTCAGACCTCATCAACTTTGACAAACTCCCCTACCTCGACGCCGTAGTCATGGAAGGCCTGAGATGTTTCCCCGCCATTCCCATGTCTCTCCCGCGAATCGTGCCTAGGGGCGGCAAGACCATCGACGGGTATTTCCTGCCGGAGGGGACGACGGCCAGTTGCCAGGCATATTCAATGCATAGGATCGATATGGAGGCATGGGGCCCTGATCCGGACGCGTTCAGGCCGGAGAGATGGTTTGAGGAGAAGGGCGATGCAGCGAGGAAGAGGTTGTTCTTTGCGTTTGCTAATGGGGCAAGAGGGTGTGTTGGTAAACAGTAAGTTGTCTTTTGTGTTCCTCGTTTGCTCCCTTTGGTTTTTGTGTGGGTGTGTGTCATGGCTTGAGTTGGACTTTTGGAGTGTGTCTGACTTGTTGAGCAGTTTGGCACTGGCCGAAATGAAGACCTTGCTTCGAGAGGTGTATTCCAAGTTCACTACGGTGCCGGATAAGACGATGACGGAGGCGGACATGGAGATGGAGGATCAACTTATATCGACGAGACCGGCTGGGTTAAAGTGTCTGTTGAAGTTTGAACCGATCGGTGGGCAGTAGGTGATGGTACAGGGGTCTTGAGGGATGTGTTTTAGACGGCTTGTATTACAACAGATGTAGCTGTAAGTATAGATGTTTGACAGTCTTGGTGTCTTGCCAAAAGAGCCATGAAAGGTCATCAAGAGACATAGACAAGTTGTTTGTGAGCTGTGAAAGTATACATAATACCTGGTAGCCAAATGAATGCCCCTGGCTTGAGAATGAGAGACGTAGAGGTGAGAGATGCCGTCCCTGAAAGAAACCGTACACAATACCTAACGACTTATGTGCATAGTAATTGCCTGTTTGGGGGGCGCTTTGCCGGATACAGATCTACCTAGATATTGGTGCGGGCTGGTTCTACACTAGCTTGTCGCATGAGTCTGGTGTACATACCTAGTTGACTTAGTTAAGCGTTGATTGACAAAACATATCGCATGTGTTTCGGATTCTTCCCGAATGCCGCCCATTTTTCACATCCCCGTAACTCCGAAGTTTCCCAAGGAGAGAATTTGGCTTTCCCAGACAAGCTGTAATTGTGGTGAGACACCCAGGCACACGGCGGAGAGGGAGACCGTCGCCTTCAGTTGACCGACAAATACAAAGGCCTCCTCCGCCTGCTCGGTTACTGAAAGTACAATGAACCAAAGTGGAACTGGTCTCTGGTGTGGATGGATGGACATTGCACAGACACAGGGAACGCCCCCATCTGCGTGGATCTTCTAGTGTATACCGGCTGGTCATCAAAGAGTCCCGCCTTTTCATCCGGCCTTCTGTGTCCAGGTGCCTTATGGCCACCGTCCGGCGAGTCAGCTTGTTGCAAGAGGCATTCCTTGGGCCGGAACTCGAGCATCGAAAGCAGAGGTGGGGAAACGCCGAGTGGATGAGGGGCAAAATGGCATCAAAATCTTTCCCTTACTTGCCATCCGGAACATTCGCCATTGCGCGTCGGTCCTGTTGCTGTGCTGCCCGTTGCAGTGGGCGGGGAGATGGTAGTGTAGGAATGGAACGCGACGGGACCTTCTTCCATTGTCGGTGTCGAAAGTGTGTGAAAGAACGAACTGCACGCAGTACCTGTACGGCAGCTGGTGCTGCCTGGCTTGGGGAACGGGCGCATGTCTCGGGTACTTTGCCCACAGCCCACTGGTAGTGGTGATTGCCTGCCAGACAAGTACCCTAGACTTGCTCTGCCATGAGCCACAGGTACTACTTACACTAGGTAGTGTACAGTACATACATGGGGGGCTAGCCAGGGCACCACGAAAATCCTTTGGCCGACAAATCCTCTTGCTTGCTCGTCCAGTGACTGCCCGCCTTGTTGCCCGTGCCCGGTTTGGCTCCATTCTGCAGCACCGATCCACATCCACTGCTTTCTCGTCCTTTTTTAAAAACTCTTGCTTGCTGCCTTTTTTTTGCTAACTAACCTCAACTTCATTCTACCCATCAACCGCCATCAGCAGCGACATCGTCCGTGAATCTATCCAAGACCACAAAGGCGACCGGGCTCTCTGTCCATCTGTCCATCAACTCCACCTCCCCCGGATTTTGGGTGCCGCACCACGGAAGTGAAGTGAATCCACTATCCCAGCAGAAACCCACACCAAGTCACTCGACTCCATCCGCTCCGCTCCGTCAAGAAAAGGAAGCCCGCTCGTCACAGGGAGAAAAAAATTTCGCTTGCCTCAAAAGCCATCCTCTCCCGCCCAGCTTTCTGTTCCAGCACCGCCCAGGTTCAGAACAACAACAACCACCAGACCCAACATAAGCATTTTGCGCGACACAGCGTTGTTTATGTATCAGCACGACCAGCACGCCGTCTTCCGACACTCTCCCCCCGTCAAGCTGCATTTTCGCATATCGCGGAAACCCTGTAGCTTCCAACAAAGTACCGACGGTTGAATCGCCATCCCACGGTCGTCTGCCAGCGTTAATGCCTACCTTCGACTTCGTTAACCACACGGTCTACCCTATGTCAACTCAAAGTACTCGTCAATAACTGACCCCTTTGGCTCGTCTCGCCTCTCGATCTTCCTCACACGCTCTCCGTGCAACAAGAAGCCTCGCTTTCCACGACATCGTCGACCAGTCTACTAGTCTGCCCTCGCTAGGTATCGTCTACCAGACTCCCAACAAACTCTAACAAAACAATCCAATAAACACTATCCCGTTTCGCCGTCAATACCGCAAAAATGGGTGCTCTTATCAACGTTCGCCGGGACAACCCCGACCCCTTCTATCGCTACAAGATGGAGCGTATCCAGACCAAGATTGAAGGCAAGGGTAACGGTATCAAGACCGTCGTTGTCAACCTCAGCAGCGTTGCCCAGTCCCTGGCTCGTCCCGGCGGCTATCTGATCAAGTACTTTGGTTTCGAGCTTGGTGCTCAAACCAACATTGATCCTCCCGATGACCGCTGGATCATCAACGGCTCCCACGAGGCCGCCAAGCTCCAGGACCTTCTCGATGGCTTCATTGCCAAGTTCGTCCTCTGCAAGAAGTGCAAGAACCCCGAGACTGTTGTCCAGATCAAGGACGAGAAGATCACTCTCGACTGCAAGGCCTGTGGCCAGCGCAGCAAGGTTGAGCCCCAGCTCAAGCTGACCTCCTTCATCCTCAAGAACGTCCCCAAGAAGAGCAAGAAGGACAAGGCCGAGCGCAAGGCGGCCCGCAAGGCTCGCCAGAACGGCGGCGATAAGGAAGGTTCCGGTGACGAGAACGGTTCCGACCAGGCCTCTCCTGCCATCGAGGATAAGAACATTGAATATGCTAGCGACGATGATGAGCTCACTCGCAAGATCAAGTCTGAGGCTCAGAGCTTGCAGTTGGACAAGAGAGAGGCTCCCAAGGAGGAGGAGTGGGCTGTCGACATGAGCGAGGAGGCCGTCCGTGCCCGTCAGCAGAACCTTCCTGGCGAATTCAAGCAAAAGCTCGTCCTGAATGGTGAAGAAGACGAGGAGGAGGAGGGTGGAAACACCGTCTACGACCAGCTCGGCACTTGGATCGAGGATGAAGCCAAGGCCAAGGGTGGCATCAACAATGTCGACGATGTCGAGATCTACCTCAAGGCCAAGGAGCTCGGCATTGACGCCAAGCACCGCACCGTCCAGGTTCTTGTTCAGTGTCTTTTTGACGAGAACATTGTTGCTCAGATCCCCAAGCGTGCTCCTATGCTCAAGAGACTCGTTACCTCCGAGCGTCACGAGAAGGCCCTCCTTGGCGGTACCGAGCGTCTCCTTGCCGACCTCGGCAAGGAGTCTTATGACAAGATTGTCAAGATTCTCCAGCTCTACTACCACCACGACCTCTGCTCCGAGGAGGTCATCACCAAGTGGGGTAGCAAGGCTTCCAAGAAGTACGTCGATGGCTCTACTTCCAAGAAGATCCGCAAGGCTGCTGAGCCCTTCCTGACCTGGCTCGCCGAGGCCGAGTCTGAGGAGGAGGAATCTGAGGAGGAGGACGATGAGTAAATCATGTCCCTCGCCACTGAGGATACTACTTCCGTTGCCGCTTGGCGCCTAGTCTAGCTTGCTCTTTTGTGTTGTTTTGAGGATGCAAAAACCGGAAGCAGATGGATAAATGCGTGAAAGGGTTGCGATCAGTTTTCTCCACTCACTCTCAGGTCTTGGTTCATGTTAGTCCCATGGTTCGCACTCAAGGGATGTCCTTTTCTGTGTCTGTGTATCGTTATCGGGGCTTTCATGGACGTTGTCTAGTTAGTCGTCAAATTGACACGTCCATTATATGTCTATACATTTCAGTATACTGCTCAAGTGATGCCAGAAACATAATGACTGCCCGAATCTCTACCGGAGCCGTTGTAGTCCTTTCCCGAAGCGGCTATGAGATATCATCAAGATTAAAGTGCCCGAGACAGTCAGTTCCGGATGTAGTCGCCTCCATGTCCTTGTCGACGAAACAGTGCCACATCGAGGTCTACCTAATTCAGGACATCGTGTCCCACTTGCTTGTTAGCTACTCTCTTATGGTCTCAAATTCTCCTCAGCATTGTGCGTCGTCTACTTGATGTTCGTGCGTGTCATGGACGAGTGCTCACTTTACTGTTGAGATGGCACCACTATGGTAGTACATAACGTTTAACCATGGTGATGTCAAGTTTAAGCATCCATTTGGCCATCAGTTTTCATGAAGAGTTTCGTGATATCAAGGAGATCAGCACCAGCATCAAAGACCAGCGTCACAGGAAGATGTTGCACGGGATGAGATTTGATCATCACCTGTCCTTTTCCATGATCATCAGCATAATTTTCACACAAGCAACCTCAGGCACACGTTCGTTAAGTTGGCTCCTTTTTCTTGAAACCCCTGCTCAAGTCCCTACGGTTATATCCCATAACCTCTTTGTAAACCGAAACTCCTAAACCATAAGCGGAGAAACATTCGTTACGTTCCAGATCTTAAAACCACTGACCGATCATAATTCCAATCCTCGAAACTCCGGACCAGAAAGCTAAAAACAATTCCAGACCTCCACGGATATCATCGCTGTTCCTATCGAACCGACCAACCAACCAGCCGAACTCCCTGGATATCATCTTGAACCAATACTCCTGAATGTTCACTGTAACCTAAATTCCCCAAACCGATCCTACTCATCACCATCAATTAACGGGCTCTTCCCTTTCCCTTATCCTTTCTTGGAGGCGCCTGGATAACTCCCAAACTCTGAGCAGCCGTCTGGTCTGCCCAAGATGCGAATTGCCCACCATGTCCTGACGGTCCAGCTTCCACATCCATACTGTGTGTTAAGGTCTGGACATTGGGGGCGTACAAGGGATGGTGGATCGGGTACGCGGGGCCTGGCTGTGGGATGGCCGCTAGGTTGCCGTAGTAGGGCGTCAACGGGTGGCCGTAGCCCGGTTGCTGGTAACGAGTGTCCGTCGAAAGGTAAGAGCCGGGAGGAGGTACATCTTTGGGCGCATAGGTGGGCGGGATGTACCGCTCCGGCTTGAATTTGTCCTTCGGTTTGACGGCAACGGGAAGGTTTTTGACACTCGGCGTCGATACGTTGGCAGGCCAACGATTCTCGTTGGAGTTTTTGTTAGGGAGATCGTCGCGCCAGCTGCCGGGGATGTCGGTCAGCTTCGGGGTCTGGATTTCTTGCCTGAAGGCGGCCCTTGATTTAGGAGCCAGTTTGAGAGTGGCTGGAGTGGAAATCCTTGAGCCTCGGGGAGGTGTCGGAGGAAGTATGGGAGGAGGGGATGGGCATCGATGAGGTGTTGGGGGGACGTATGGTTGAGCGGATTCCACTGAGGCTTTCTGCCATTTGAATTGAGTGTCGCGGTTGGAGAATTTGGGTTTGGGAGTGTCGTTGTCCGAGTCTCTATACTCCTCGGCCTCGAAGTAGCGGGTTTCTATGCTTGCCCTGCTTCCAGGTCGCTCAGATTTGCGATCAACAGGCTCTGGTCTGCTCTTTGATGAGTAATGCTTGCTGGTACTCGGTTGCTGACTATGGGGATTTGAAGCATTGAATGTCGGCTTGGAGGATTCTTTGAAGGAGCCTATTCCCTTGTTGTCCCTCTGACTATTCCGCTCATTATGCCGGCTCGAGGACGATTTGGCAGTCTGTGTCCATGGGGCGTCGCTCTGGTGACCTTGGGGAGCATAGTTGGTGTCCTTGGGAGTGTCCTTAGGGCTGCTCAGGGATGTGGGCTTGGTTGGATCTTCCCAAATCGACTTCGTCCCTGTCTGCCAGGTCGCTACACTGTCCGCGCCAGTGACTCGTCGCTTTCTCTCTAAGTCGGCGGCCAACTTTGCGCATTTTGTCTTGTACTCTTCCACCTCTCGGCGAAGCTTGTTCTCCTCGGTCTCCTGAAGCTGGTCGCTAGGCACGTCCCACCCTTTGGACTCATTCGAAATGCGAGGGGAGGGCGGCAATGGCCATTTCTCCTTTGGCGATTCCAATCGGGTAACATGAGCGGGTGAGATAAAATGGTTCTCGTCCATGGCCTTAGATTCTTGAGCAGGCCCTTTCCAGGTAGAAACCTTTGGTGTGGACCATTTCCTTTCAGTGGACGAAGGGTTCTGGCTCGGCACATTACGATGCGAGTGCTCCCATGCTCCATCAGCAGCTGGGTAGTTGTTACTGCTCCAATTCTTCTCTTCCCATGGAGCGGCAGCTGGGAATTGAGAGGCAGTGGAGGAGCCAGCCGGCATACCGGAAAGTCCTACTGGAGCTTTCTGATTGCGTGGAGAAACGCCAAAGGTTGGAGGATGTACACCTTCATGGTGATACTTTGGATAGTGAGGAGAGGAGAGGTGTTGCTCCGGCACTGAATCCTTTGGCCGAGAAGCGTCCCGAGGATGAAAATCGGGTTGTCCATTCTGAGGATGAAAGTGACTGTGGGAAGCATGGTGATCCCTCTGGTGGGTTCCCTTATCGGCATGTCTGACATCGTGCTGCTCAGGACGCTGGTAGGTCTTTGGAGCAGAGCGGTTATCGTAAGTTTGGTTGCGGGGGATATCAAACGACACCTCCTTCGGTCTCTGCGCCGATGAGGTCTGTTGTTCCGCCTTCTTTCTGGCATCAGAAGCCTCCTTTTTCTTTCGAGCATCGCGCCTCAGGTTCTCCTCTTCGACTTTTTGGCGTTCGCGATCCTGGACTTTCCAAGCTTCATAACTCTTTCTGCGCCATTCGTCATATTCGAGCTTGAGACGCCTCTTTGCAGCCTCCAGCTTCTTACGAGCCTCCTCTACGGCCCTTTCGCGTTCGTAGCTGGCAAACAAGTCCGCATGCTTCTTCGTCTCTGCAAGCTCAGCGTTCAACAACTGGATCTCCTCATCGGCTTTCTTGATGAGCTGTTGCCGTTTCTTCTCCTCAGAGGCTGCCCACTCCTCTTTGACTTTCTTAATGGCTGCGTCCGCCTCCGCCCTGCGCTTCTGTTCCGTAGCCAGCTGAGCCTGCAAAGCCTTTTTTTCCTCCTCTTTTCGCTTCAGGAGTTCGTCTTTGCGCCTTTGCTCGGCGGCCGCTTTCTCCGAAGCGCGCTTCATTTCGGCGACAGCCTTTTCTTCCTGTCGCTTCTTCTCGGCCTCGACAGTACGCTGCTTATCAAAGGCAGCTTTTTCTGCCTGGCGCTTCTTCTCCTCGGCAGCAGCCATATCACGCAGCTCCTTCAGCTCCTTCTCAACCTCCTTGAGGCGATTCCCTAACTTCAGCCAGCGATGCTCTTCTTTGACTTTGAACCTGATTGGTTCCATCATCTCACGCAATTGCTCGTCTTCTTCCACAAGCCTGTAGATGGCCCGGTTCAGCATCTCGTCTTTGTCGATTATGTTGTTTCGAGGTTTAAGAACACTCGGGGCGAATGGTCCTACAGCCTGCATGTTGACGGGCGACATTTTTATGGGGGTAAATTGGTGGTGTAATTTTCACCACGAGCCGCTGTTTTGTGGTAGGGGGAGAGTGATTAATTGTTGTGAATATAGCTACTACCGACATGATGTTAGCGCGAAATATCCTCAGGGCGCGTCGCGAAGAAGACAAATGAGGGAGGTGAGAAGGGGGTAAATGACTAACCTGTGGGCTTGAGCGAACTTGATGAGTCGAGATACCTTGAGCGACGGAAATATTGATAGTGGGGGTATTGACGTGCCTTTCTGACGTGAAGAAGTGTTGGCTCGGTGGAAGGGTTGGTGTGAAAGTTTGTGGGAGTGTGCAAGATTGGACTTTTGGCTGGGAATGGGAAGGGTTTAAATACTCTGCGGCCTTGGGAATTTCAAGGTTGCCCCGCGAGGTGAAGTGCCATCAACAGGTGAAGGGGGCTTCCTCCATACGATTTGACTTCAAGGTTGCTGATCTTGAACTTATGCGCGCTCAACAGGTGAAGGAGCCTTCGTCAGCCTAAGCTCAAGGTTGTAACTTTGGTGAAGGGCAAACCTCATCGCAACCCCCCATTTGCTGCCGCGCACCGCACCGGCGTTGTGATGGCCGGCACGCGGATATATCTGTCATCCCAACTATATATACAGGACCTTGAGGGACCAAACTGTCAGGTTTGGTTACATGTGTCCTTTTGTGCGGAAACATGGCCTGGGTGGTGAAGTGGTCCGCCGGCGCCGTGACAGGCTCCTTGAAGCACTTCTACCATTTTTCAAGTCGAAATATCAAATATGATGTAACCGTTCAAGAAGCCAGTTTCTTTGATTTGATAGTCTGGTGGCTTGTTCCTGGAACCCGAAGAATCTAATATGCTTGCGGACTCCAATACGTGGAAACTCCGTGGCAATATGACTGAATTAATGACGAAATCCCATGTCGTAGAGACTATAGATTTCTTGTGACGAGAGTCAACCAGCAACTGTCCTATCAGAGACAAGTTGAAGTTTGTCGGACCAAAGGTGGCTGCCAGGACGTTAGCTATACTCCGTCGACTATGTGTGATGGAGATGTTCCGCATCCAGAATCCAACATGACACTAACGAAATTCAAAGTATTCCGAGAACAAATCACTTCGAAACTTAACGGATCATTCATTTGTAGACCCGATGAGACATCGGAGACAAAAAAAAAAGGAACTGCCCGATTAAGTTCACCTATGTATAGCCATAGCTCTAAGCATGCAGAAAAGCGGTACGCGAAAATTAAGTCAAAGAGAGGTCCGCGTAAACAAACTGGTCAGTGCGAGGAGTGCTGGCCCAGATAATAGACAAGCAACTTGAAAGCTAGAATAGAACTTCACCCGCAGAACCATATTGACATCCTAATGACAACAGTTCATGATCTGTGATCTCGTATGGCCAATTCCTGGCTGACAGCAGTAGCCATCTGGTCACTGCAAAACCTAAACTCCAGTCCCCGACCTCAGCCGTTCCTCACAATCTAGCGCTCATTCCACATAGTCCCCTATCAGCTCCTGATGCTAAGCCTCCGCCTTGCCCTTATCAATTCTTAAGATGCCCGCGGAGGTTCTCGAAAGAATCTTTGCGCCAGTTACCCGGGGGCATCGGCGTCTTATGGTCTCCCCAGTGGTCATTGCTTGCCTTAGTGGATGCCGATGTAGATAGTCCAGGCACAGCAGGGCCGGGAGCATCCGAGTGTTTAGGGGGCGTCAGAGAAGGGCTGGGAGAGGGTGACGGATGCCAATAGGGAGTCGGTGGTACGTAGGAAGGGTTCATCCCCACTGAGAGCTCGAGTTTGAGTAACTTGGCACGAGCATGGGCCTTTGAAAGTTTCGGCTTGCGCTCCTCGTCACTCAAGTCATATCCCTGCGCTTCAGAGAATCGAGTATAGGTGGTGGTGCGGCTAAGGCTTCGGTCATTATGGTCTATACTTGATTCTTGGTTGGAGCGCTCCGTGCCGCGCTTCCAGCGCGATTGGCGAGTTTCAGGTTGGCGACCCGTCGCGACGTCCTTAGAAGGGGCCTTCGTTGGGTCCTCCCTGATAGAATTGTACCCTGTCTGCCATGATGCTATACTGCTCGCGCTATTGGTTCGCCTCTTTCTCTCTAACTCGGCGCATAGCCTATCCAATTCTTCGTATTCCTTTTTGATTTCCATCAATTCTCGCTCCAGCTTCTGTTTTTCATTTTCTACTGGAGTGGAAGCCTCCGTCTCCTTTTCACTGTGAGCGGGTGTGGGCGGCAGCGGCCACTGCTCCTTGGGGGTCTCTACTCCCCCGCGATAAGAACACATGGCTGGTATAACTGGTTTTGGCTTCGCTATCTCCGGTTCAGATGTAGGTGCCCTCCAAGCAGACGCGGGGGGTGTAGCCCAGCTCTGCCTCACAGCTGAATGGGGATGGTCGTGGGGTAGAGGTACTTGCTTGGTTGATCCATATGTATTTGAGTAGACATAGCGGCCTCGGTCCCCATCTTCATACATTGAGATGTTCGGAGCCAGGTCGGAACAGAGAGACCCCGCAGGCAATCCAGAAAGGCCGACCAGTACTGAAGATGCTGATTGGGCCTGGCGAGGGCTCGGATGCCCACGCGGATGATGCTTCAGATGGGAGTGGTCGATGGTGGGGTATTGCTCTATCGATGGGTGTTCTTGATCCAAGGGTCTCAGAGGGTAGGGACTCTGCTCTGGTTTCCATGGATAAGCCTGGCTGGTGGATGGGCGCTCGTTCTCGAGACCACGCTTCCAAGCTAGCTTCTCTTTCTCCATCTGACGACAGCGTTCCTGCTCCTTCCGGGCTTCGTACTCCTGCTTCACACGAGCAAGTACCTTCTTCTCAGCCTCTTCGGCTTTGAGAGCCTTCTCCTCGGCCATCTGACGAAGGCGCTTCTGCTCCTTCCATTCTTCTTCATCTTGCCTGCTCGCCGCTTCGCCCTCCCGCCGTATAAGTGCAAGAACACTTTCCTTAGCTTCTTTGGCTTCGAGAGCCTCCTTTTCGGCCTGCTGTCGACGCTGCTCCTGCTCTTTCCACGCCGCTTTGTGCGCCTGCATTTTTCGAGCGAGAGCCTCCTCTTCAGCCTCTTTGATTTCGAGAAATTCAAGCTCGGCAAACCCGGAACGCAAGGATGCAATTTCCTTGACAAGTAATTCGTATCGTTTGCTTAACAGCTCATCGGAGGGGTTGCCGGCATCGGTGAGGGCAGGCGTAGGGTCAAGCTGAGGAGAAAAGCTGTATAAAAGGTGTGTCTGATTCCGCGAAGAATCAAACGATACCCTGCGCTTCCCCAAGTGGGTCTTCTTCTCTTCTTGAAGAGCCTCAGCAGCCTCTCGCTCATTCTCAAGGCCACGCTGCCAAGCGGCCCGAGCCTCTTTCTCGGCCTTCTGATAACGGCGCTCCTGCTCCTGTCGGCGCCGTTTTTCCTCGGGTGAGATTCCGGTGGGCATTTTCGTGATTAATATTATGAATATGTATATAGATACTGCCAATGGAGTGTTAGAGCACGAGTCCTGAATAGACAGTTGCGAGCTTCTCAGAGGGGTATTATTTGTGCAGTTCAAATGAGCTGGGAGACTAACCTATGAGCTTGGATACGCTTCAAGCGGAATTGAAATGTGTCGGACGGTGAAGGTTATTTGCGGTGTCGACTTCTGTGGTGGAGGATGTGACGTGCCGTACAAGATGTGACGACTTTGTGAGGAAGGGAGGGTGTAATTGCCTAAGGCTATATATGGTGATCGAGAAGAGTGTTCAAGGCGCAGATGGCTTATATGAGTGTTCTTCTATAAGAAGACTGACGACTCTGAGGAAAGAGACAAGAGGTGAAAGCTTGCCGCAGGGAGGGGAGGGAGGAGGGTTTATATCCTCTGCAACGTAAGAAATTCCAGTTCCCAAATCACCTCGCAAATTGTTGCTGTTATCAATCTGATATGTGGTTGATCCCAAGCTCACCTCGTCGTATCGACCCTGTCCCTATCATCGAGACTATCAAGTCGAAACCAAAACATCAGCTGCATGGTGAACGACTTTTTTAAACGGCCAACGTCCATTGTATCCGAACAGGACGTGAACCAAACCTTGATAACAAAAGAAAAAGGGACAACAGACCACAGATCATGGCGTTGCCAGCCGAGAAGGATATCCCTTCAGTCTGTATACCACCCATCCACCACGTTCCATCATTGCCGTTGCTGTAGAGTGAATTGCCCTTTTGACAGACAGGCCCGATGGGACTGGAACAGGACGATAACAGAAACCTTGAAGACACGAAAGAAGATAAAGTGAACACACCAATTCACCTTCCCTACTGAGAAAATGTCCCCTTCACTCATCTGCCATCTTTCCACCCTTTTCCGTCCACGTGTCCTTCTCCTCGACCGTCCTCATCTCATCATCGTGTCCTCTCGCAATCCCATCTAGAGATTAGGCGGGTATCAACACAAATCCCCCCTATCCCTCACAACTTTGCCCGCTCCGCCTCCTTCTTCTCCCTCCACCTCCTATCCACCCTCAAATTCGCCCAATAATTCCACAACGCACTCACCACCGCCGCCGGCGGGCACATCCACAAGAACCATGCCCACCACTTCGGACTATACTTCTCCACCACCCCCTGCCAAAACACCCTCCGCACCTGCTCCTCCAACTCTCTCTTATCCCCATCATTCCAAACCACGCACCCTCTCCCCTCGCCCCTCTCCAGTGCCCTTTCTGCCTTCTCCCTCACATCCCCTTGACTCCTCACCCGATTCTCCGCATCCTCCTGGCTCAAATGCGGATCCCTAGCCCTCAACCTCTCCATCTGCACCTTCGGATCCTTCACCCCGACCACCAATACCGTCCCGCAGAACTTATCCAACTGACTCTCAAACAACAGCGGGATATCCAGCACCACGGCTCTATATCCCTTCACATACGCCTTCAGCACCGCCAGCGCCATCGCCTTTCTTACCGCCGGGTGGACAATGGAATTCAAACGGGCGCGGTCCTTGCGTACCTCGGGGGAGTCACCAAAGACACGGCGGCCCAGGGCCGGGCGGTTGAGGGGGCGGCCTTTTCCTGTGGGGCCGTTTTCGGGCATATCGGGCCCGGAGGGAACGAGGAGGTCGGGCGTGGTGGGACCAAAGTAGGAGACGATGGCGTTGTAGCCGGCGGTGCCGGGCTCGACGACTTTACGAGCGAGAAGGTCGGCGTCGATGACGGGGAGGCTATAGGGGGGCGAGGAGAGGAGGGAGGAGACGGTTGATTTGCCGGTGGCGATGGAGCCGGTTAGGCCTATGACGAGCATCTTGGTAGTTGTTTGGGGATGTGGTTGTTTGATGAAGTTTGAGTTGTGTGTATGATTGTATGATCAATTGTGTGCAATGGCCTGAGGTGTATATGGCTCTAGGGTCTGTTTACAAGTATACGCTGTTCAGGTTGATACTATTCTTCGTGAGGTGATGTCGTTGATGTTCCCAAAATGGGCGGGTCGGGCAGGTGTCAACGATTGGTTCAGAAACATTGCGCCATCCAAGGATTCAGACGATGCGGGGGTGGGGTGACAGTCCACACATCCGGACAGGTAAGTACCCACTGAGCTCCATCTAGTGGTTAGTGTTTACGACACAAGCAGCCTAGCGATCACACTAACAAACACACGGCGTGATAAGTGCCTTATTCCATTTGGCATATATCTCTTGCAGCTAGGATACTAACAGAAAGACTTTGCTGTTTATGCAGCAATATGGTAATGTCAGGTACCTCCTTGCATATGACAACCTCCATCATTCATCACAAGGGATGCTCCTAACCAACCTTGAACGACATCGTTTCAATTTAGTCCGACGACCTTTCGATGACAGTCTTCGTACCTTGACGGGCACCAAAGCTAGGCAACTGGATATTTAATTAAGCACTGCTGTGATAGGACCGATATCTAAGTAGCAAACGTCCTGCAAACGCGATTGCCTGTTGCCAGAAACATTCTCCATGCATCCATCTGCTTGGCGATGTCAAGCAAGAACTAAACCAGGTAATAGTTTGACGTCGACCCAATGTGCCAATCACAATTGCTACCCCCGGAAACTTCAAGCTTCTGTTTGCTTCCACTGAAGGCAAACCCTTTGAGCCGATTGATCGCAAAATGAAGAGGAAAACCAGAATCAAAACAAAAGACGCAATCCCAAGCGCCAGTGACCGAACCCGCAAAACGCCGAACCTCGCCAACGATGAATGGTGATGGTGTCTACACACATTAGAATTCGATGCCAACAAGCACATGCAGGACAACTTACCAAGAAACCCGTCTTCTTTTCTCCATCCAAGCTTAGGACTGCATGCGGACGGCATAGAAGACGCCATCGTCGGTCATGTACCAGCGGCAGTCGCCAAGGTTGTCAATCGTGAACCTGTTGCGCAGGGTCCAGTTTCCGTCGACCTCACGGCAGCGATACATGCGAGACGGGTCATCGTCGGCGGGCTTAAAATCCTGTGCCTCATCCATGTTGTTCTCATAAGCGATCTGCTCGTTGTTTGCGGCAACCTCACTGGCAGTGAGGCCCACGCCGAGAGCGGGCTCGGGATGAACGGCACCGGGGACCGCAGGCATGGGGGCAACTGGAGCATTACCTGCAACGATCACGGTCGCGCCCGGGGCGTACGCAGGCTGGGGCTGAGCCATCATCATGGGCTGGCCGGGGACAGGCTGGGCCTGGACCAAGACCGGTTGCATGGCAGGCTGCGGCATGACAGGCTGCTGGACGATATAGCCGGGCGGAGCGGCGCCGGGAACCTGCTGCATCGGAACGGGTATTCCGGTAGCCTGTGACCAGTTAGCAAATTTCGACTCTTGAAAGCTCGTTTATCAGCGGCAAATGTTTTGGAAAGCAGCAAGCAGTCAGGACACGGGAAGCTGTAGTTCACTTGAACTACTGGCAGTGAGGACGCGAAAAAAAAACAAGTGGAAAGCGCAAATCAACGACACTTGCAAAGTATTGCTGTTGCTGTTGGTCCCAAGTCGGGTAGAGTCCGGCCTGCCACTGGCTCTGATAATGGCCATGGTATTGGCTCTGGTATTGGTACTGTATCTGATAGGGAGCCTGGTTCGGCACCTGGTATTACTGTGGGTACTGCTTCCCAACTACGGGCTGCTGCATTCTCGAGGACGGAGAACAAGTCTGACTGACCATATACTGAGCGGCCTGCTGGACAGGCATTTGGAGACCAAGCTGTCCGTCGTGGCGCGGGGTATAGTAATGAAGCTCAGGGCCGGTGGAGGTGTCGCCAACCTGGGGTTGGAAATGGACGCCAGTATTGGCCGGGGCGAGGGCGTACTGAGACATGTTGACTTGGTATGTTGTTGGGAGGTAAGGGATCACGGTCTGGCACTGGGCGGTTTGCTGATTATAGCCGAGTTGCCACGGTTGGAGTTGTTGATAAGGCGACGCGGGGATGAAGGAGGGATGGTATTGCGCTGCCTTGTGGTCGGCTTGTATTCCTCCCGGGCCTGTGTGATGAGTGAAGACTTGTTGAGAGGACGTTGAAACTCCCGGGTCGGCAGGCGGAAAGGCGGGGTAGTGCTCAGGACTGGTCGGTTCTTCCTGGGCAGGTGACTCTTCCTGGAATGATGGACGCTTGCGCAGGGCGGACTTTAAGGGGAGTGGCTGGACGTCCTTCTCGAGGCCTTGTTGAAAAGAAACCCTCTTTGGAGATTTGAAGTTGCCCTTGTCTGGAGGCGCGCCCATGATGGGTTGGGACGCAAAGTTGGTTTCTCAAGGTGGACTTCCGGCGTGTGCGGTGGTCCGGCTTGAGTGGAGAGGGTTGTTTGTGAAGAATACGAGAGGAAGGAGGGCCCGAAGGAAACAAAAGGGAAGGTGCAATGGGGTGTAAGTGCGCTGCGTGGGTTTAAAAAGGTGCTCGCTGACCGCCTCCACTTCTTGCCTTAGGGTCGTCGTAGAATCTTCACCACCAGCACGGCCGCCAATGCAGTCCCTCTGACATCGATCTCTCAGCGTGTCTTGTGGCGAGCTTCCACTTCAGCGCGTGATGCTCTGCTGCAGAATCCGCCTGTTGTTGGGTAATCTCCAGAGGTGAAATCCGTAGAAGTGAGTGGTAAGTGAATGGAAGGTGATCCGCTGTTGCCTGGGGAGCGCAGAAACTGAGCGCGAGTGAAGGGATCACGGCAACTGAAGACATCCACATGGGAAACCTGCAGCCCCGCGTTGTAGCCAAGCAAGTCTGGATCTGTCGTTGAGTCCTCGTGATCGTTGTCCTGCCAACAAACGCTCCTTCCTTCAAACAAGTCTTCGAGTCTGCTCGATGTCTTCGGATCCAAGAGAGTACTAACCCTCAGAGGTACCTGACCTGCTGCTGCTCCCAGTCTCTTGGGGGTGGAAATTTTGCAACAAGGAAAGCAAGCAAACTTACCACGTCGCGGAGCTCCCAGGCCCTCGTGCTCTCGTTAAACGCATAGTGATACTTGTCGCCGTACCGGTTGACCGGTTCGCGCTCGAAATCGACGTCGGCAAACGGCCAGCAAGGAATGCAACAGCACATGTTGACTGCTTCTTCTCTAATTGCTCTGATTGCTTTCGATTCGGGGTATTTTTGCCGTTGCCGTGGCAGTAATGGTTGTTCTTCCTGATGTGCTGCGAGCGCGGTTCAAATCAGTAGTCGAGTTGGTTTGAAAGTTTTGTTGTCTGTCAACTGCGGAAGCGCAGTTAAACGGAAACTCCGTCTTTCATCTGCCTTGGTCTTGATAAGATACTTGGCAGAAGCCGGCCCGGGCAGGTATGAAGCTCCCGCAACCGAAAACGGGAGGCACGGCCCAAGACACTCTAAGCCCACATGACGACCCGACTGTAACGACTTTTCTTGGTGTATGAGAAACATCAAAGTATGCCTTGGCAGTATTTAGACATGAGCTATGACACTTAAGGTAGAATCATTACATCTCGTGCACCTGATCATCTTGCTTGTTGATATGTCACCTACGACTTCATTGCCTGCTTGGTTTTTGTTGTGGTTCGTGAATGCGCTGCCCCGGTTCATCCTAAACTGACAAAGGTGGATAGTTACGTTGTCTTCTTTCTATGCCAAAGTGTTATGTTGGTATACTATCGAGTTTTTGTATATTCCTCAAGTGGCTTTCTATGGTGGTTTAGGAAGAAGGTGGGGATACATTACACGTTACATATGATCATGTCGAGCTCGCCTTTCTCCTTTTGCAACAGCATCCCACACCACGAACCAAACGATGTAAGCTCGATGATGTGGTAGTTTCTCTTGTTATCACCAAAGATATGGATGGGAAATTTGCTTTATTAGTCTCCGATCTTAGAGAAAGCTAGAACGGGATTTGTAGAGGGACTTAGCATGAAGAGACAAAGTTGTCATCTTCACTGAGACTTGTAGCTCACTACGTCTAGTCTGTCGATTATCAAAGGATCGTGTTTTCCTACCTGTCTTGATCTCTCAGCTTCCATGTATTGAAACTGGTGCTTGCCTGTTGTTCTCAAGCCGAATATTTGCATGGGGAATACTCGAGGAACAATGTGCGTACGATTTCCGGTCTTGCGGCGAATATGGAATTCGTCGACCATGGGCCTTATCCTAAGGGAGTGAATATGTTCATTCGCAGTCCTGCCCCTTAGTCGCTTCGAACTTTGAATTCACACCTGCTTGCAATTATTCTCGACACAAACGTGTGCCAGGGTGACATGCCCAATATATCCCACACCAAACATTACCTCTATTATCTTATCATGAAACCCGGAGCCAACAGTCATGTACAACCCGCGATAGACTCAAAGTTTGAATGAAGCCTGCCGCAATGCCCCATATGCCCAACCGGGGCGATTGCGCTCTATGTCCATATGATCCGCTATAATACATACAATTTTCCACACACGGGGAGGAGAGAGATGAGACTAACCCTTGCGCTATGCACCACTATGCACACACCCTGCCCTTTGGCCCCTCTTCCATGTCCTGCCTTGTTCAAGCCCTGCCCAGCCCAGTGTCGCTTTATTTTCGTTCTTCCCTCTCTTGTTCGTACACATCCACCAGTCCGTGCCTGCTGTCCCTTTGCTCCGTGTTGACCCAAGGACACACACACATCTTCTTCGCAGTGGTCTTCCGTGCTGGTGAGTAAAGACACTGGTTTTTTTCTGTCGGTTCTCTCGAAGATTAAAATAATAGAGAAGGCTGGCTAGCTATGCACTCTTTTCATGGAGCAACGATAGATGGCCAGAGAGTCATGGGATGAAGGGAACAGAAGATGACTTTTTTTTTTTTTCCTGTTTCATTCTTCGTCCCCACTTCAGTCAACCTCGTTGGTCTGCGGGGAGGGGAAGAACGTCCTCCTGGTGACCTAGTGACACAGTCAAGTTAGCAAGGTGTATTTCCAGTCTACGCCTGCCATACGAAAAATGGTAACATACCGCCCAAGCACCGGCTATCGTCGCAACAATACCACCCGAAATCATCATGGGCTTCAGACCCCTGGTGCTCTTGAAGAGCATACCACTAAGCGCACCGGCCAGGATGGAGTTGGCGGCATCGTGCTTGCCCCTCACGTAACCAATGCCGGCGTTGATTAGGTTGTAGCAGATGGCGACAACACCGGCCGAGTTGCCGAGGTAGGGACCGCGACGGGTGACGGCGTTAAGGACGGAGTTGAGGCGCAGCTTGGGCGGCTGGCCGGCCGATCTCTGGAGACCCTCTTTCAAACCCCACGCGCCTCCGATAGTGAGGGCCGTCAGGTAGGTGATACCGGTTCCGTAGCAGAGGTCGTCGGTGAAGCCGCGCGAGGGCAAAACTGAGGCGCCGGCGGCATCAGGGAGCGGGGTATCCTCAAGCGAGATGTATTCTAGTGTTTCCTTGTTGAGGCCGGCGAGAGGGTGTAGTTGTGTGGGGTCGGCGAAGGAAGAGCTACCGAGAAAGGCCTCGACACCTTGGGGCTGGCTAGCATCGAAGGGCGAGGGATATGAAGGAGCGGTGGTGGTGGTTGTCTGAGGTGCGCTGGGGGCGGGGGCGGCGGGCTCTTGCTGCTCTTGCTGCTTCTTGTTGCCTCCGGTGAGGGTGTTCCAAAGGCCGGACATTGTGACTGAAGTGGAGGGGTTCGATGGGTTATCGGATCGTTAAACAGTTGGGAAACACGAAGCAGATAGACCGCGGACTGCTGCGCGCAAGAGTGGTGACGGGTAGCCGGAGGGAAGGGTGGGTGGGTGGTGCCGTCGGCAACTAAGTAAGCTATCGTATCTTCGGAGGAGTGACGGACGGGTCGGTGGGCGAGACGGATGGGATCTCGAATTGGCTCCGGCTCACGCGCAACTTGGACCGACGCCTGTCTTGGCCCCCGATAACGTCGGAACTTCGAAAAAATTTACCTCTATGGCGCCCGCATGGCCCGTGCGAGCGATTGGCGTCATATGTACCTCTACATATGTATATACATGCTCTTGGGCTTTGATTTCGGGGACATTTCAACATGTCGAAGTGGAACTCAACGGAGGCTGTTATGAAGATGACCTACCTTATTGAAAGACTATCTGCAGTATATTGTGGGCATCTGAAGCTGAGCTAGACTACGCCTTGAACAGAGATATTCAACGGATTCTCCATGTTCCCTTCCTAGGTTTCTCAGGACTTCGCTTTGGCATCTTTTGAGGGGTTCGTTTGTGATTCTATACAGTGCAGGGGTATCTCTTGGCATGGCGGCAGGCAACTTCAGACCCAAAACAAGCACGGTGGCCGGAGTGGATCCACCCCAGAACATGCGCAGTGGATGTAAACACACAGTGGGTGATGCTATAGGCCTTTGAAGATCCCAAAATTTCACAACTCGTCGCTCATACTTTGCATGAGTGCCCAGCAGAGAGGTGGATTACTATCACACTGCAGTAACTTCAGGCCCTCAATTCTAACCTACTGGGGGGCCTATTGACGGTCAGGCACTTACCACTCTTCGCTCCTTCTTCATTGCCTCCCTTTCCCAGTCATCACTCTGCAACGAAGTCTCGGATGCACGTCTAAACCGGGTCCCTCAATCATAACTTCCCTTTTGGACTGCGGGGATGGAGTCAACCCAAGTCCAGCAAAATGCCCCCGGCAGCAGCACCATTGACACGGACGCTCTGCTAGCCGGACTGGGCCCCGAAGTGTTTGAAAATGCCAACACCATCACCAAGTGGCTGTTGTCACAACCCACCGAGTCACTCCCAGTGTAGGTTTCTTTTCTTTCGGATATCTTCAGTTTCCAGTTATTCTTTGTGGACGCATATACAGACCATCACTAACACCAGTGTTAGCATCGCACAGGCAGTATTTGCCAAGTTGTTCAGCAACGCCTCCGAGTCTCGCCAGTATCACGGCAACGGTCACGATGTCGTAAGGCTCTGCAGCTTTGTTCAGCAATGCGCCAAGGCCAAAGACGAGAAGCTGAAGGAATGGGCCTTCACCGAGCCTGTCTCAACGAGGCTGTTCCATTTCTACCTTGAGTGGTATGAACACGACCCGCATCGTGCCCTGAGACTGATTCTCGATGTTCTTGTGGCCTCGGCGACCATCAATCCCAAACCCGAGACAGGGAAGGCAGTGAAGGAACACATCCTCAAGACCATCGTGGAGATTGTCGCTCGCAAGTCTGCCATGCAACTGACCAAGTCTGGCCTGCAGTGTCTGGACCACTTCTTGAACAAAAAGGTTCTTTCCCTCGACGATGTTGCTCGCAAGTATCGCGAGGTCGACTCTTCTGTCGCCGACCTACCTCATCTCTCCGTGTGGAAGTCCTTTGTCTTTGAGCTGTTCTCGTGGATGGAGCTTCCCTACGTCTGCCCTCATGCCGGCAAATGTCTTGTGCATATTTTTAAGGGTTTAAGTACCCAAGAAATCGAAACTTTCACTGTCGATGTCTGGAAGACGTGGCTACAGGAGGCTGTGGCCCAGAGACCAGCAGTCTTGGAGGATATCAAGAACTATGTCCTAGTTCCTATTTTCAAGACTGACAAGGTCGAATCTCTGAAGCTGCTCGAGGCGTTTAACCGCAGCGAGATACCCGTCGGATTTACACAGGATCTGACCGATCTGACTCTCTTGCTCCAGTTGGCGACACTCGAGACCGGCAAGCGGTTCGGTCTCGTGGAAGAACCCAGCAATGATATTGACGCTTCTCAGTCTTCAAGCAAGGTAACTCTTCGGGACACTGTCCTCGAAAGCTTCCTCACACATCCTTCCCTCTCCGTCAGATCCAGCGCTTTCTCCTTGTTGGTCTCTTCCCAGGCCACTACGAAGCCCTTTTCCCGGATAGCGTTTGACCTACTCAGGAAGCACCTCGCCGCCTTCCATGCCGACTTTGACGCCAAATTGCGCAACGAGGTGCTCGGCTATACGAAGAACCTGATTCGGCGTGTTAAGAACGTCATCTCCGTTGCCCAGAGAAGCCTTGCCCAAGCAGCCAGCAAGCAGAACCCGGCGCCTGCGGACAAGGATACGACATCATCAAAGAAGAAGCCCGCTCCTGAGAACTTGTTGAAGAGTCCCACCGAGGCCAGGGAGGTACTTGACCGCCACGAGGCTTTCTTTTCGTGGTACCTTGGGTTTTTGAAGGGTGAGCTTTTGCCCACAACGTCTTACCAACGCCACATCACAGCCATGAGAGCGGCACTTTTGGCGTTGAAGGTTGGAAAACACGCTGGTGCCACGGATGATGTTGTCGATGAGGACGTTTCAAAGTCAATATCTTCAGATTTCACTTGGATCCGCCTTCTTCTGGATCTACTCTTGGACCCTTTTGACGATGTCAGAGACTCCGCCTCTAACCTTCTGGGTTTGTTCTCTCAAGAAATCATCAAGTCCCCCGCACAACCCAGTCTCAATAGCAAGACCCAACTCGAGGTCTTGCAAGACTTTTGCCTAAAAGCCCGGGCTTTGGCAGACAGAACTGGCCGCGCTGATCACGGTGACGGCGCTGCTCGCTCCCAGGGACTTCTGTGCCGATGGTTGGATGGTGCAGATCTCCAGATTGCTCACATTTCCAAGATTATCAGTGGTCTTGAAGACAAGGTCACAAAGGCAGAGAAGGACTTGGGCCACGCCGCCATTGAGAACCCCGTACATCCAGATTTTGCCGCCATCAGCTATGCGTGGCCTGTGCTGGCCAAGGAGACCTTTTCCGAAACACAGTTGGAAGCCATCCATCAATTATATCAGCGCATCTTCGACTGTGCCAAGCGTATTTGGGTAGCAGTCAGGCATGTGCTATGCGATGACTCTCCGGAAGGCCACTTGCCCGAGGAGATGGAGGAAATCGAGGGATTGGACACCAAAGACCTATTGAGTTACAGTTTCCGTGCAGTTCACGAGTCGAGCAACCTGATGCGACTGATGCTCCAGACGTTGCGTCTCACTCCAGGCCCGGGAGTGCCGTTCCCTCCTTTGCCCGTTTTCCAAGATACCGGGTACTTGACATTTGAGCAGCTTTCCAGCTTGAGGCATCGTGGTGCTTTCTCTACGGTATCTCTTACTTTTACGACATGTTGCCAGCTTACGCAAAAGCTCCCCATTGTCTTCCCCGAGACTGCAGGGTCCAACACTTTGCTTCGCGAATGGTACAAGGTATGTTTTGGAACTGATCACGGCTCTTTGGCTACCTTATCCTAACTCTCTGAAGGGCACCATCAACTGCATCATGAGTCAGGCCTCCACCACCCGTCGTTCTGCGGGTATTCCTTCCCTAGTTGCCGGCATCCTAACAGCCAACGCCGAATCGCCCTCGTTCAACGAGGTTTTCAGCGAGCTTGAGGAGATTGGCAGGAAGCCGGTCACGCAAGCGGAAACTGATGGATCGAACTTGCCACAAGTACATGCTCTGAATTCGCTCAGAGAGATCTTCAAGAGCTCATTATTGAGCAAGAAGGCCGAGGCTTACCTGGCCAGGACTTTGCAGCTGGCTGCAAACAACCTAAAGTCCGAAGTGTAAGTTGCAGACATGCACCAGCAGTCAGATCGAATGCTAACGAGGTATAGATGGGCCATTCGCAACTGCGGTCTCCTGTTGCTGAGGAGTCTTATCGACTGCTTGCTTGGAACGGGTGAGAGCAAGGCCATCATCGAATCGGGCTGGGACGGTGTCTCCGTTCGTATTTCTTATAACAAGTACCCAACACTGCCAGGTGTTATTCTGGGACTGTTGGAGTCTGCCAACAAGGCTCTTGGTGAAGATGCAAAGACAGCCGCCGCGGAGGCCGTCTTCCCGGCATTGGACATCATTCGTCGTGCCGGTCCCCCCGAGTCTTACCGCGCTGAACTCCAAGGTCATATTGAAGGCTACCTCGATAGCCACCTCTGGCACGTCAGAGAAATTGCGGCCAGGACACTCTGCTCCTTCCTTCTTCAAGGAGACTGGGTCGCAGAAATCCAGCGGCTCCTTGAGGAGTCTGAGGATCGCGCCAACCGCATCCATGGTGTCCTCCTGCTGACAAGATTTGTTCTGGAGCGCAAGACCAGCTTGGGTGCGGATGTTTCCGAAGATACATCCAAACTCAAGGTTCTCCTTCGCAGGCTTGCCGACGAGAGTGACAACTTCAAGACATGCCCCGTCGTCAAGGCTGCCTACCTTGAGATATTCAACATTTTGGCAAGCATCGATCCCATCGTCAACCAGTCGGCCTTTGAACTCATCGCCATCACTCCAGGCTCTGATTCAGCCACGGTGATGGACAAGACCAAGCAATACCCATCTTCGGCTCTCCTGGATGCAGAGGCTGTAATTGCCAGCGTCTACCACGCCGCAGCAGTCTTCGACACTAAGGTCCTACGGGCACTCTTTCTGCACACGCTTAGCAAGGACATCAACACCACCCAGCGAATGCTTGAGATGGTCGCTGCCGCCTGGAAGTCCATCACCACCACCGAAGCCATTGGGGGTCTCTCCAATCTTTACGCCGAAGTCTGCACCACCGCCGCCGCTACCCCCGATATCAAAGCAGCGGCGATCTCTAACCTCGGCGATCTCATCGACGCCCTTCTCCAGCAAGGCCGTCAAGCTGAGCTTGTCGGCCTCCCCTTCATGGCCACCATCGAACAAATCTGGAAGGGTCTCCAGCAAGGCGAGATCAACCCCAACCTCTCCTGCGCCATCATCCGAGCCAGCGGTTCCCTCATGGCCGCCCTTGCTCTTCGCAGCGCTACCACCACCACCACCACCGCCTGTGGCGAAATCGACAACGAGATGGCCCAACGTCTCCGGGCCTGGGGCGCCATGATGGCCGACGCGCTTGACATCGACAACACCTTCGACACGCGCTATGCGGCCGCCTCTTCTCTGACCTCCTTCTTCACCGGCTTCGTGCCTACAACAGGAGCAAACTGGTCCCCGGCTTTCCTCCCTGCGCTCTCGGCGCTCTACGATGCCCTAATTGACGACGATGACGAGGTCCGCGATCTTGCTTCCGCCGCTGCCGCGCCCGTCGTCGGACAGCCGATGGTTCCCCCCTCGGCAGCTGATCGCCTAGCGGTCTGGATGTCCGAGACGTTCTTTGGGCAAGAGGAGTTCCAAGAGCACTTGGTGTCTCGTCTCACAACCGGCA